GGTCAAAAGGGGAACGGCTATAAACGCCTGGACACCAACAGAGACAGACCTCTGACCAAGCAGGCCTTGTTTCACTCTCCCTGAAGCCACTAATGTCAGCTTAGTGGAAGAGCCCCTCGGTTGTTTAAATTTACAGCACAATGTCATCCTGTGTCATGAACAAACAACAATGCACGTATTCAGCCCACAAGACAAATAAGAGGATGTCAATTCTCACACTCTGGAAATCGTAACACGTAAAGGACAATATTTCGACCTAGGTTTGGTAACTGTTACATAAGCATACGTGCAATTACCTCCCTCCCCTGCAGGGGGTACTGTGACATTTACATTACTGGAGTCCATAAGCTGAGTGCACTTATAACATAATAGTACTGTGTTTATATCGAACTTACTAATCGCTAACTTTTTCAAAACATGTCTGTAAAACAAGGCCTTAGCAAATCCTGCTTTGGTGTAAAAACATCTGAGCCCCAGGTAAATCGCCAAGATCCACCATGATAATGTACAAATCAAACTCCTCAATTTAACCAAGGAGACTCGCTGTCTCGGGTAATCTTAATAAAATCAGTTGTTTTTAAAAAATTTAAATATAAATGAAATTCAGCCCTACAGAAAAGTTAAAGTAATATATGTATTGCTTACAATAGCAGGTCATGTCTCAGACTAGTACTTGAAAATAAAGATTTTTTTTTAATCTATAAATGAACAACATTAGTTAACGTTCCCTGCTGATTCTGTAGCCTAAATAATAAATTCCGTTTTTTAATTGATTCTGTAGCCTAAATAATAAATTCCATGTATTCTTATACAGCCTTGTATAAGAATACATGGAATACACTGACTTATACAGTCAGTGGATAATACGGTGTACAGCAGGCAGAGTGACATCTGCAAAATCTTACATATGACCTTATTCTACACTGATAGACGGTAACACACCTTCTTTTCTATTAACCACGGCGTCTTAGGCGTGATGATCTCAAAGCAGCAATAATTACAAGTGGCGAGAGTCAGGATGTCATTTTTTGTTGCTGAACATGTTTGACAAGCTCAACAAGAATATAATACACACTTGTCAAGTAGGCAGCTACCTGCTACCTCAGCTAACAAAAGCATCCACTCCTGGTGTTCCCTGCCAAACATCTGACCACGGGTATATTATCACCAAGAAAAAAAAAAAAAAAAAACATAAAGAATGATGTCATTTGTAGCAAACTGTTCTCTCCTCCGGTATAACAGAGACGGAAGCACGCGTTTTAATAGCAGTTTATTTTTTTGCATTATAGCCTGATGAGACATCATATAGTTCATGATATTTTTTTACGATTTAAATTAATACCCTAGGTTTTTTTCTTTTCCATTCATGCCCTTTAAGGATTTTTAGCTGTTAAAGTGCAGCCAAAGGAGAGGTGAATGAAACGGTCCGGAATGTACCATTAAAAAATGGGGGGTTACGAAAGTTTAAATGCACTTTTTAAATGCACGGTGAGTTATTAAAGTTTAATATTATTTTGGATGTTGTAATTATATAATTTTATGTTAGTAATGTATGTATTCGGGTGTAGATTTGGTGTGTTTCAGGAGACAAAATCCTATAAGAAGACGAATCTCCTCCCCTCAGCCTCGCAGGAGGATGGGCCTTACCGAGATTATGTTACCAGCAGCCCTTTAAAGTCGCACCACTTCCGAGCTGTAATGAAGCTGATCGCAATAACGCTCCAACGCAACAAGGACCGACGTCCGAATAAGAAAAAAAAATTCTTAGCAATAAACGGCCTCTCTTTAGACAGGCTTTGATGAGGGGAAGACATTTGGACATTGGAATGTTCTATTCACTCGAAGTCGAAGGATTTTGCTCTTGGTTCAATTCTTGGTAGGACGTGGCGTCTGCACCCGAATGCACTGAAGTAGCCTAAATTGGGTTAATGTAACATCCGTGCATTATTGTGGTTTTTATTTTTCAATTTTTATTTTTACGTGCGCAAAGATAACAGCATCCTGGATTACTTTCGTGAAACAGGAATGGTTTATCCTCCCGACGGTCTATTCTACATCGAAATGGATCAAGCACCACCAGGTAAGTTAGGGTTAAAAACAGCCATGGTTTATTTCACTAAGATTTGGGGTATTATGTTCTTTTTAATATTTAGATATACTATTGTAATATTTTTTGTGATATATATGCTGTCTTTAGAGAGGACCTCGGCGCTGCGCTCCCCCATAGGCTTTGCCCAGGCATGCTCAGCGCAATATACTTGCCAATTACGTAATACCTTTCTGTGGACCAGGCGCAGTGGCTTTTTTCTTTTGTCCCGACGCAAATGACAAACTCGGACAGAGAGCCACGGCGGCCCCGCGCCTCCTCACCAACCACTAGAAGGCTCCTCTTTTTGGAAGTAGGGCAGCGTGGAATGGTCACTCTTAAGGGAAATATAGCCGAAGGAGCGTTTTGTGAACGTCGCATGAAACGAGCGCTTTGTTCTCGTCCGCAGCCAGGCGTGCGTAATTTGCTGCGCTAGCTCTGAAAAAGTAAGCTACAGGCGAGACAGCCCGAGTCTCATGACTTCAACTGAAGCCCGTCAACGCTTTTTTTTTTTAAATTATTTTTATTATTTACATTAGTCATTTGACCGAGTCGTTATTACACTGTTGTAAAAGGCTGCTGTTACAGCGGCCTCTTTTGCTTTTTCGCTCCAGTCGAGAGTACAACTACATTTATTCACAGACGTCATCTCCCAACAAATTACAACCCATTTTTTTTACATACATTTCCTTCCAGAATACTTCACTAAATTATTGTTATTGACTTATTATATGCATCTTGAAATAGTTAGTTTAAAAAAAAACAGCTTTTACGTTATTTAGGGTACATTCATACAAACATTGCAAATACAAAAATCCAGTCTAATGTATATTTAATAACTCTTTTAACGATAAAATACATTTTTTTGTACAATTTGACTTTTGTTTTAGCTTCTGAAAACTGAAGTCTGTGCAGGTTTCTCTGCTCCACATTCAGCTTCTTTTTTTTTTTTATTGTAATTTTCCAAATTATAGGAACCGCATGAATGTCTGACTAATTGTCAGTAAAATATTTGTTGGTTGCCTCCCTCAAGTAAAATGATATTTTTTTTAAAAAATGTCACTGAAGAAATAACACTCTAAAGGTCTCGGTGTTAACACAAACACACTTGTTGCCACCGTAGCTTTCATGTTGTGTATATTTGCCTCAATTCTGTTTTTCTTGTCTGTGCTGGTATGTGCATGCGAGCTTCGGAACGCCAGTAAGACTTCAAGACTTGGCAGCAGAGCGAGAGGGGAAGGCGTGCAGATTTAATTTTGCTGAGCTCAGGAACCGCAGCTTTTTTTTTTCCTTTTTTTTTTTTCGTTTCTTGCCTGCCACTGTGCTTGCTGCACCTGCCTTTTGTTTATTTTAAGGTCAGAAAACGAAGAGAGCGGATGGTGGGAGAAACTCACATTTTCTCCTGACTGAGGGAGCTCTTGTGTTCTCCCCAAACTGCCTCATGAAAGGCACTTTTGTCCTCCAGTGAAATATATCGCCCTTCACCTCCTCTTGATGCGGTTTGCCTTCCTTTTTTTTTCATTTCTAGGAAAGTGCTCAGATATATATATTTTTTTCTTTACTTCTGAAGCTGTTAGAAACCTTGCGAGGACCTGTAAGTGGGCGATTATTTTTTTTAAGAACGGAAGGCCGGTCCAAAAGGCTTAAAACAAAATTATAGCCCATTTAACGCTCCTCAAGAAAACGGAGACAGTGCCAAGGCTACAAACGAGACTTTAGTCAACATAGGACACACCACAACACTTGGTTAAACTAAAAAATATACAACATCCATAGTTCAACTGACATAAAAACAGTGACGTATACTCTTTTGTTTCGGCGCTGATAAAACTTAGCACGTTGGTTATTATTTAGTGCATTATCTCTTGGAAACACGTCTGGGCTTGTCCCCAGATCTTGACGGGCTCCATATGTGAGCGCTGGCTTGTGTTTGCTAGGAATGGTGGTGGAAGTATGAGGGTGTTTAAAACAGTGACAGTGACAGAGATTTCACTGTTAGACTAAACTGTTTTTCTTTTATTTTTAATGTTTATTATATATTTTCTTACAGCTCTCCCTGCCAGGTCATCAAAGCCAGTGTCTTCCACCATGAACAACAACTGCCCGTCCCCTCCTGCATATTCACTGCAGGACGCTGAATGGTACTGGGGAGACATCACCAGGTAACCAACCTATGTCAATTATATCTCATTATGATTTGCTTAAAAGCATAATAAGTTGTTTGTTTTTTTAAAATCCTAAATCTGATCTGTTAATTTTTTTTTCCATTAGGGAAGAGGTAAACGAGAAGCTCCGAGACACACCTGACGGCTCCTTCCTGGTCCGTGACGCATCGACGAAGCTGCAGGGAGACTTCACGTTAACGTTGAGGTAAGGAGAGGCGCAGGTTGTGTTACGAATATGGTTGAAAGTAAGGATGTTTTATTTTTATTTTTAAATACATTTAATCACTTTACAGAAAAGACGGCCACAACAAGTTGATCAAAATTTACCACCATGACGGCAAGTACGGCTTCTCGGACCCTCTCACGTTCACTTCGGTGGTGGAGCTGATCTGGTATTATCAACACCATCCGCTGGTGGAGTACAACGCCACACTGGATCTGATGCTGACCCATCCTGTCTCCCGCTTCCAGCAGGTAAATACAATGTTATTTTCTAATCACAAGTCACAAGTCTGCATCTGTGTCTGTTTAATTGTAGAGACATTCTTTCTAATCACAAGTCTGCATCTGTGTCTGTTTAATTGTAGAGACATTCGAATGACGATGTAGGTATTTGATAACAGTGTAACATTTGATTCATCAGGTCAAAGAAGACAGCGTGGATATGGCTGGGAGGAAGCTGAAGGAGGTTCATAATCGGTATGAAGAGAAATCCAGAGAGTTTGACTGTCTGTACAAAGTCTTCACAAAGACCTCACAGGTAATTAAAAAAACAAAAACTTTTACTATACGTAAAAGTAAACTAGATCTGTTTATCTTTTTTAGCATTTTTTTTAAATAATTTGATGTAAATTGTGATGCAGGAAATACAAATGAAGAGAACAGCAATTGAGGCTTTTAATGAGACAATGCTGATCTTTGAGGAGCAGTGTCGTGAGCAGGAGCGCTACGGCGAGGAATACGAGAGGAACAATCAGCCCGAAGCCCTCGAAACAGATCTCGAAAGGTACTTCATTGCGTCATCCGTTTAATTTAAATGCACGCGCACCGAGTTTTCCCTGAACTTTGCTCAGACTAATACCCTCTATTCATCACCTCTAGCTTTCTCATAAATTATGAAAAGCTCAAGTGCCGACTCGTGGAGATCTACGACAGCAAGATTCACCTGGAGGAAGACTTGAGAACGCAAGTGGAGGACTACAGAGAGACGGACAGGAAGATGAACAGCTTAAGGCCTGACCTCATCCAGCTACGCAACATTAGAGACCAGTATTTGAAGTAAGAATAGTCGGAATAATGTTTGCTACTTTACAATGTGTAATAAAGGTATTTGAAATTGAACCAATCCTTTGTTCTTTTCACAGCTGGCTTAATCACAAAGGTGTACGGCAGAAACGCATAAATGACTGGCTGGGCATACAGAGTGACAGCCTTGACGAGTAAGTTCAGTAAAAAGCCCGTGAAGAAGAAAAGAAAACTTTTAAACAAAATATCCATATTGACTTACGCCTGTTTTGGTTTTTTTTTTCCAGCACATACGTACTAAAGGGGGATGAAAAGAATTTGCCCCATCAAGATGAGACAAGTTGGTTAGTTGGAGAAATGAGTAGGACACAGGCTGAGGAGATGCTTCAAGGAAAAGTTCCTGGAACGTTCCTGATCCGCGAAAGCAGCAAACAGGGATGTTACGCCTGCTCTGTTGTGTGAGTATCGTTGTGTAGTCCGTGTATCTCAACTGGAACCAAGAATAAAAAAAACAAACATTAAATGATAATAACACTTGCTGTTTTTTACGTTTTCCTTTCAGGGTGGACAAGGAAGTGAAGCATTGCATGATCTACAGCACACCGCACGGATACGGCTTCGCCGAGCCGTACGACGTCCACTGCTCGCTGAAAGAGCTCGTTCTGCACTATCGCCTGCACTCTTTAGCTCAACACAACGACGCCCTGGATGTTCGGCTGTCGCATCCAGTGAACGCCAAAGCTGCATCCTCACCTTCTCAGCATATAGAGGATCACAAACTCTTACAAACTCCAAAACACACAGCAGGGCTTCCACCTGCCGCACCAGAAATGTAATCCAAACGAGAGAGAAAGAGAGAGAGAAAGAGAGAGAGAGACACAAAAGGACATATGTTTACTGTATCCTGCGGAAAGGACTGCATCGGAGGTGCATTGTGTAAAATTTTTGCACTACAGTGATTCCATCTTTTTTTTTTTTTTGTGAACGAGAGTTCACATATTGAAGTGGGACTGGAACTTGAATGTCAGCTTAAACTCTTTTTGTTTTCGTTTGATTGTTTGGTTGGTTGTTTTTAAAAAACAGTTTAAGCTTTCCGGAAAAAAACAAAAAAAGAGAAAAAAAAGTACTTCATTTATTGCAGTTTTTTTTTTTTTTTTTTTTAGTGGACACTTTGGTAAGGGATATTGACAACCAGATAAATGCTCACTAATTTCAGGTGCTGCACCTTTGTTTGACTTCAGCTTTTACAAGGCAAACGTTAATGTCCTTATGCCTAGAAAAAAAAAATTATATAGTCGTGGAAATTTGACCAATACGTTGGATGTATATTAGGTAACTACTTACTGCATTTGCCGAGGGGGGTACTGTGAGCAGGCCCGATCTTGTCATGGTGGACCAAACCGTTCTTGGGCCGACGCTAGGTGTGAATATGTGAAAATTTGTGGTGCACATGACATATTCTCTTTTTCTTATTAGATATTCATTTACAGTGGCTAATTATGTAGCAGTAACATCCTGTAGAATACCATTGTAAGAGTATTCAATGTTATATCCATAGACCAAAGCACTTAATAGTGAGCAAATCTACATCCCTGTTTAGTCTTGTAATTGCAGTTGGGCAAGGGTAGGGCAATTTATGTACACCTGCTGATGTGCTGATCAAATCATAATCTGAAGTACTGTATGTTATATTCTGTTACTCAAAGAAGTATAAGCTTTTTGTATTCTATATATATTTTTTCTATAAACATGCCACAAAAATGAAAGCTTGAAGAAAGTGCAATCCAACAGTATTTTTATTGTTGCAATGTATGACGACGACGACGATGGTGGTGAAGGTAATGCTGTTATGAGAGGTTGACGATTGCCACAACAATGCACTCTCTTTGGTGGTGTCAGTGTGATGTGGCCTCCGATGTTTGTGTGAACTGCCAGAGGTCCGGATGTATCCTGCCTCCATTACTTGAACTGTGGCATTGCTCAAGCTATGAATGTTTTTTTTTTTTTTTTTTTTTTCATGACATGCAGCCTACATAGCTTAAGAGGAAAGGAATCCATGTTGAACTTGGCACATTTTTCAAGTGTGAGGACAATAGATACTCTGTACAGAGAAACTGTAACCTGTATTTCTGAGGTTGGTTTATGGAAGGAGGGTGTTTAAGCCTCTTGTTAAAAAAATGGAACTCCACTTGAGGATTGAGGAAACTCCTCGGGTGAAGCTAAGCAATGTGAGATCCTAACCTTTTTCTGGCTAAAAGACAATAAACTGATAAGGGTTTTGTCAACTTGTGTCATCTGTTAGTTTTTAATTCTCATTCAACCTAATTATCATCTTCAAATGAAATTGAAATGTGATTTTTTTTAAAGGTAAAATATGCAATGCTATGACCATGGAATTTCCCAGTAATTATAAGTAAGTGCACAACAAAGACTCACCAGTTCTTTCAAGAGAACAGGACCTCGAAGTTCTTCTGTGGTGAGCCAAATTCTACGGGAAGTCGAGATATGAGGTGAGGGGAGTACGAGAGGACACGCTGTGGACAAACGAAAAGGAAAGGAACAGATGAAGACAATGGCAGGATATGCGCCTGGTCTGTTTTCCTGCCAGAGCTGAAGTTTAATCTGGTTCACTGGGAACACATACGATTTTGAAATAACTTTTTTTACGGTCCTGCGAAAGGAATGCAGCTCGACTGTAAACACCCAGTGCCAGCCAGCTCAAGAGAAGTTTGAGTTTTGTCTCACACACTTTTATCACAACAGGCAGCTCTCGTAATTTCACAACAATTAAAGCTGTAGTGAGAAAATTATGATCACGTTAACTAATGTTGATGGCATTGTGACATTATTTTTAGACTGAATCCTATTTCTATTAAAATTTTTCCACTTACCTAGGACAGGTGTGTCAAACATAAGGCCCGCGGGCCAAAACTGGCCCACCAGGGGGTTGAATCAGGCCCGCTTGATGAAAACACTTCATGTTCATGATGTTTTGTTAAATTATATAATCATTAAATGTGGATATTCTCCAGTACTCTGCATGGAAACCAAGGGTGAAAATATGGACTTATTGTTATTTACAAGTAATTGTGTTATGACTTTACTGGTCCGGCCCGCTTGACATGTAAAAAGTAAAAGTTTTATTACTTTTGTTCTAGTACTGGGACAGTGTTGATGAAAACAATGAAGATGATGATGTGAAAATGACTCTGACACTGCCAGGCACCACCTCAACTGGCTCTGGGTGACCAGTGCAACAGGTGGCTTCTTTAAACCATCACAGAGAGCCTGCGTTATTTAGGGATTAGTGGGGTGCACAGTCTCAGTTCCAGGCCATGGATTATACGCCCTTTTACCTGTGTCAGCACAGGGAGCTGTCAGATAGACGGCATTCACAGTTCCAACAGACCAGATGCGGGTGATACAGACATGTAGGACAGGCTGTACTGGCGCTGACTCACCTCCTGTCTGCAAATGACAAGAGGAAAGTGGGTAGAGAAAATGTGCAGGCCAGACAGACAGGAAAGAGTACTCGAAAAATATGCATTACTCAAACTCCCTGTACAGGATATAGGAACAAATAAAAGGCTGAAAAGTCATGCTGGGCTCTTTCCTGCATTTCCCTTTTACCTGAAGAACACTCCCACCTTGGCAATACCCACAGGCCTACACTGCTCCCTCTCATTTTCTGTAACTCCCAGAGTCTGAGATTAATCTATGTAAAAACCCAACCCCCCGTGCCTTTCCTTTTTTTTCCCCCTTGGTCTTTCTCTTTTCCATAAACTCTCCCACACACACACGCACGCACGCAGACCGTCTCAGTTTTCCTCCTTTTCTTTTTCACTTGCCAACAGGCCTCTAGTCTTCGAGCTTGCTCGTTTAAATTCATAGCAATTTAGCTTTATAGTTCTCAATTTAAATGGGTGCTGCTGGGAGGAATGTCAGAGAAGGAAGAGGTGTATGGAGAGCAGAAGGGGGACGATTTACCTCTGGAGTCTCGCCTAAAACACACACACACACACACATCATGAATTGTCTTGCACACTCACCGAGAAAGAAGAGGTTTTCGCTTTCAGTTTTGGCCGCAGCCAATCACCGCCCTTTTCCCCCCTCTGTCTCCGTCCTCTTCCACTGTTTCCACGTTACGCCGTCAACCAATGGGAGGCCGAGAACGCGCCGCACACTAGCCAATCAACGGCCAGTTGCTATGTCAGAGGCAGAATCGATAAGAGAGAGCTCCCCCTCTCTCCCTTCCCTCCCTTCTGTCGTGGTTCACATTATAGCTGGTTTATTGGCTGAAAGCAAGATTGTGTTGCCTGCCAAGCAACATATACCCAGCGGTATGAACTATTACACATACGATGGGCAGGATTTCCATTTAATTCGTACCCACACAGCCGAAAATAAACGTTATCTTCCGTTCGTCCTGAATGCTTTGAAAGTGCATGTACGCGGTGACAAATCGCAACCGAGTCCTCGAAGTTAATAAAGTTTAGTTAACCATTAACCGTTAACCAAGCTTTTTTTCAATATAATGATGAAAAATAGATGTCCACTGTCAAAGGCATTCATTAAATAAGTGACAAGGTTAGCTATAAATGGATAATTGTAAAAGTATCGCGTGAACAGCAAGTTTTCCCAAACAGCATTTGTTGGAATTCTATTTGATTTTTTTCAAGATGAAGTTGTACTGTAAACCCCAAAGTTAAGACCGATTTTGTTTCTGTTTCGTTTGATTGTAATAGGTTCACACTAATATATATATAACATATATTTACTTTGCATGTAATGCGCGTGAGTTTTCCCCGGTTTCTTCCCACAGCACAGAAACATGCATATTAGAGGATACATTTGATTGGCTACTCTTTACCCTGAGTACAAACGTGAACGTGAGTGGTTGTCTCTCTATGTGGCCTGACCGCTAGAATACCAGTGTGTACCCCGCCCTCACCCGTTGACAGCTGGGGACGACTCCAGAACCTCCTCAAAGGAATTAGTCGAATATTTTGAACAAAAGTCGTTGTAAAAGATTATATTTGTTTGCCTATTTATGACGTCACTTTCCGCAGAACACTAAAGTGTGAATCGGATTTCCAAGTCTCCCACATTGTTCTCGAGTCAACACCTGAATCATCCAATAGGAGTCTGACAAAAGAAATGACGTCACCCAGTCACTACGGACAGTTCCAACTGGATAATTGAGCTGTCAATCAGCAACGTGTCTCGGATAATCACTCTGCACTATTAAATTGGTTAATTATTATTAGAGCTCCATTTTCTGCACATAAGGTAATACTTTTCAAATTAAGGGAGTTTTTACCATAGTTTGTATTGTCCTGCCACTGAAATACATCGTGTTCTTTTTATTATTATTATTTATTATTTCTAGTCCAAATTACACATTTCTTACTGACGGTATTTCTAGTCCAAATTACACATTTCTTGTCATTGTTTCATAAAAACTGCAAGAGAGGTTTAAAATATATTGAGGCTGACGTTAAATGTTTATTTTCCAGTAGTATTGATTGGAAAAGGGTGATACGACCACAGCATATGAATAAATGCATTAAAATATGTGAATTATAACAAATTTAGGAGAAGAAACTATTATAATGTACAGTTAGCCACGACAGTTACCTAGTTTACAAAAAGGTTAAATAACTAATACATGAATAAATACATAAACAGTGGCTGAGACATTATAAAAGACAGTGGAAAATTCCACTCTGAACAAAATATTTGGGGTAGCCTCGTAATTCAAACACCTAGAGATTTTAAGGCCTGATGTCATTGGGTGACCTAATTTAATATTGCTGGAGGTTAGCTGTTTTTTTTTATTGTTCTCAAATAATACCAAAAAGGTAAAAGTGTAGAATATAACCCCAAATCTAAAGATATGTAAAATACATTTTTATATGTTTTATTAAATATTCTTTAAACTAAGGTTTTATGCCTTTTCCAAACAAAATAATGTTGATTTTAGGACTTGCAATATCCTACTTTATGTACCTGGACATTATTTTGAATAAGACGATCACTGAAAACTCCATACAATGGATACAATTCACCAGTAAAGTAAGGCATACAATGGATACAATTCACCAGTAAATCAGTCAAGAACTATACTCAAACCACATTAGCAGCAACTTCAAGTGTCAAATTGTTTCACCTGTTTTTAATGTGTATAAATCAAGAGGCGACATCAATAGTAACCTCCCTTTAGGACAAATGCCAAACACTGCAAGGAATCCTTGTAATTTGACGACGTTGTGCTTCGATTCTACAAGGGGGGGAAAAAAGAAATTAGCTGTAATAAATGAAAGGCCACAGCATCTGTCAAGTTCTTAGTCTCATCGCGGAAGATCAGCTCTCAAATAGATTAAAAAAGAACCAGCCGGGCATATGGCCAGCAAAGCAGTGTTGCACAGGACAGATAGACAAGTGGCTGCGGGACAGATGGCAAGGACGACTCCGAGTTAAATCAGAAACCAGCTCGGTCTGAAAGGCATATGATAGCATATGTACACGGGAGTCAAAGGCCTGAGACCAAACTTGTAGTCAGGAAAACCATTAGAACCCTTTTGAATAGTATGTAAAATAAAGAAATAATGTACCTAAAGTTCTAAGTTCAAAGTTACTTCTAGTACACACAACTTTTGTTTCGATTGCTCTGGCCCCAAAACAATATTTGTAAGGGTAAAAGTTATTTTCGGCCTTGGTAACTTATTGTTTCATATTGTGGAAATAATAATACAAGTTCTTAACACAGAGTGCTCTAATTGCTTGCGTACGATTTTGATTTGAAGCCAATCACAGCACTCGGCAAGCGCTGAACTCCACTTGCTCCCAAAAGAACCCTTGAGCTGTCAGTTACGACTCACGATGTTTTTCTTTCCTGGTGAAAGCAACGTCTCGCCAGAGGAAGGAGTCCTGATGTAAAAGTCAGACGTGCCCTACACTTAAAACAGAACAGTAATTACAGTGACCACTTTCCATGGGATGACCCTCACACCACCTACTTTTTTCTACCACTACATGGGAGATTCTGTGAGCAAAGCAAACATTCTGCTTCCCATCGCCACAACGAGGAGTCATGACAATCAGTGCAAAAATAATTATCATGATACTGACAAGGAAAAACATTGCCTATATGAGGGGGGGAAAATGGAGGAACCACAACCGTGCATACCACAAAAAAAAGACGTATTATTAAGATACAACGGAAACATTGTAAGCCTGAAAGCTGTCTGTCTGTCTGTGTGTCTCGCTGCATAAAAGTTCATTAAAAAAACCTCACCTATCTCTTCAAACCTGTTCTACTAGAGACACCTGCCCAGGCAGCAGCACTGAGAACAAAAGACAACAAAATGTATAACAAATCGCGCTTCCAAGGCTCCAGAGAGGGAACCATTCATGCAAATTACCAAGTTCAGTTCAATATTTTTTTAGCAAGAGTGCTCGACAGCAATCTATTTTGCCTGTTTGCAGGCCTTGTGCACGTTGACCTGTCTTTTAGCTGTGTATACCCCTTTCATTTTTATAATATATGTCACATGTCATTCATGCACATATACAGTAGAGATACAGTAATTTTTAAGGCATTTCTGGATATTTTGTAAGATATGAATGTAATGGAAAAACAAGTCCTTTCAGGAATACTCTTACAATACACGAAACATCATGTAACAATACGGGGGGCAAAAGACAGGAAATGGGTTGTAGCTAAAATGGTGGCTAGGTTGACACATGATTAACTCTGAATTTTAATGGCCCGGTGCTGCTGCTGCAGCTACACATTCTGAACAATACCGCAGGCAGTTTCATTTTTATTGACACAATAAAATAGCTTGAATTAAAAGTCAAAGTGACAGATGCCTCCGTGGTTGTGCAAGATATTAACCCGACATTTTTTTCAGTGTGCATTTCCAATACATTTTTCCTCCTTATTTTAGATTGTTTTACTGAAAAATGGTTCAAATTCATATTTAAGCTGATTTCATAGGAAGTTCCTGATTAAAACAAAATCCATATGCCCCTGTCTAAGAGCAGACAGGGTTGCTGCTCGCTCGACCTCACAGCCAACACATTGGAGAACAGCTACGTCTAAAATTACCGTTCTACTGGGGGCTGACATGGTAAGAATACTATGATAATTGACATGGTAGGTTTTGTGGTTTTTAGTCAAGGACTTCCATTTTCAACAACCTGTTTGAGGCAACGCTGCCCCCTGACGTTGAATGTTGTAACAACGTTTGATGCCGCGTAGTCCTAAAATACCTTTAAAAAAAACGAAAAACAAGGAAACAATTTTCTTAATTTTTTTTATAATAAAACAAGACAACTTTCTTCATAACAGATAGTTAAATAGGCTATTAGCAACTTACAAACGGTAACTGTATACGTTTCACAGCTTCCGGGAATTAGTTAGTGATGACGGAAGCTCCAAGGCTAGTGTAGTCGATTTCAGAGCAGAGGATTGACAGGTTCAGCTGGATGACGGAAGTTGTTCTGCATCCTTCTCATCCGTAAACTTATGGGTTAGTCGCAGTCGAACACAGCTTGTATATTGTGTGTTTTTCAGTGGCCCTCTTTAATTTGACAGTCCGTTAATTTAACTGCTATGTGGAGATAGGTTTTGTGACATATAGCTTCCTTTTATATGTTAGCATGCCGTGCTAACAACTGAAGGGACTGTTTAACCTTAGCTATTAGAATTGCACTAAAGATAGTAGAAGATAATTATATAGATAATTTAGAGGTCAGAATGTTGACAAACGTTCTACCTACTGACATACATGCTATAGACTTTTAAAATAATCGTATTTTTTGATGTTTAATATGCATTTACCTTTATGCTTTACAGGTAAGCCATAGGCTGAGACTCCCTAAGGATGAGGAGTTGAAGAATAACTGGACTCCATGGGAACACAGTACTGCCTCTGCTGTTATGTCCTCCATCTGTGTTTCAACATCCACGGGTTTTAGTGGTGGTGGAAGTGATGCCGTAGCGACCATGGCATTGCAGGCATCAGAACAGGTCCTTTTGGCGTCTGACCGCTATGCCAGGCTCATTCTGGCACAGATGAACAAAATGCGGCACCGCACCGACTTCTGTGACGTGCGTCTGAACGTCGGCGGCCAAATGTTCACGGTTCACAGGCTGGTGCTCGCGGCAAGCAGCCCCTATTTCTCTGCTTTGTTTTCTGGTGGGATGAGGGAAGCGGATAAAGAAGAGGTGCAGATCATGGGCGTGGAGACTGAAGTCTTTGAAGTGCTGCTCGACTTTATATACACAGGTCAGTTTTAACGTATTTTATTTTTAAGTCACAAACCTTCACGACCCAAGTCAAGAGAAATTATTCATAAACTCCTGGGAAACATGATATAAGACGACCCAAAACAAATTCTTTGCGACCCACCTGAGGATCGTGACCCAGTCTTTGGGAAACATATAATATAAACCATCTTTTTTACTCTTTTGTTAAGTGATTTTTTTTGTTGTTGCTTTTTTCAGGTTTGATTATAGTAACAGTTGAAAATGTTCAGGAGCTCATGATTGCTGCTGACATGCTGCAGCTGAACGAGGTGGTGTCTGTCTGCGGGGAGTTCCTCAAGGGCCACATGGACCCGTCCAACTGTGTGGGCATCTTCCAGTTCTTGGAGCAGATCGCCTGCTTGGACATGCTGGAGTTCACTGAGAATTACATACACGTCCACTTTCTTGAGGTATGACCTTTAAAAACCAAATCCTCGTATCAGCGTGCTAGTTGAACGCATTGTTCACACTCAAACTCTTACCATTTAGGTTTGCGTTACTGAAGAGTTTAGGGGCCTCTCCAAGGATCAGTTGGTCAAACTGCTACGAAGTGAAGAGCTCAGAATCGAGGACGAGTATCAGGTCTTCACTGCAGCCATGGACTGGGTTCTCCATGATGTACCAAAGAGGAAGAAAAATGTTGTGGAAGTGCTGGAACCGGTCCGCTTTCCTCTTCTATCCCCACAGAGACTTTTTAAATACATAGAAGGTAAAAGAAAAAAAATATATATATACATACAAATTTGTACGTTTATATTTGACAATTCTAACTTTAACATTCTTAAGATAAACAAAAACAACGTTCGCCTCTTTTCCTCCCACAAAGGCATTACCGACTTTAGCCTGCGGGTGGCACTGCAAACGCTGCTCAAGGAATACACGGAAGTCACCAAGTGTCCCAAGGAAAACAAAGTGTTCAGTCAACTACAACCTGCAAAGATGAGACCCAGAAGAAAAGCCAGGAAATACCTCTATGCTATAGGTGTTCTATTTATTTTTTGTTTTAATAAATTCAATTCTTTTTTTTTTTAATCAAAAAAGTCGACAATTATCTCCCTTTTGACTTTTTTTAGGAGGTTATACTCGATTACAAGGGGGCCGTTGGAGTGACAGTCGGGCTCTGAGCTGCGTAGAACGCTTTGACACCTTCAACCAGTACTGGACGACAGTATCGTCTTTGCACCAGGCCCGCAGTGGTGTCGGGGTAGCTGTCTTGGAGGGTATGATATACGTAGTCGGAGGTACGTGAGCGATTGTGCCATTTAAGTGTAGAAAGAATACTATTCTGCACATGCACTCGTACACGACTAACTAACTTGACATCTCTTTTTGCGCTAGGGGAGAAAGACTCCATGATATTTGACTGCACGGAGAGATACGACCCCGTGACAAAACAGTGGGCTGCTGTCGCATCTCTGAACTATCCTCGCTGCGGAGTTGGAGTCTGTCCCTGCCATGGAGCCCTGTATGCACTTGGTAGTTATCTGAGTAGCTTTATTTTTTTAAGAGAAACCTTCAGGCATATTCATGTGCATTCTTTGGCTTTGATTTGACCGAATCATAGAATCATTGATGGATGGATGGATGGATGGATGGATGAATGGATAGATGGATAGATGGATAGATTATAAGCAGATTCACCTCAGTATAATGTGGTATGGTCTGTATATGTACGTATATATAAGCAGAACTTATATCTCCCTGTCTTGACCTGTACTAAAGGAGGTTGGATTGGCTCCGAGATCGGAAAGACAATGGAACGCTACGATCCGGAAGAGAACAAGTGGGAGGTCATCGGCAGCATGGCGGTTCCTCGTTACTACTTCGGATGCTGTGAGCTACAAGGTGCGTGTTTTCACTTTTCTTTTTTTGTTGTTTTAAATGAACTATTTGAGTCTTCAGTGCCAAACTGACCAGTTGTTTCTCTCCAGGCTTCATATATGTGATCGGAGGCATCAGTGACGAAGGGATGGAGCTGCGATCCGCGGAGGTGTATGACCCCATGTCCCGCCGGTGGAGCGCGCTGCCAGTCATGGTGACACGTCGGGCCTACGTGGGCGTGGCCTGCCTCAATAACTGCATCTATGCGGTGGGTGGCTGGAATGAGGCACTGGGTGCACTGGAGACAGTGGAGAAATACTGTCCGGAAGAGGTAAAGTAACACTGTTTCGCGTTGACGTTGTTGCGATCATTTTTCCCGTGTAACGTTCACGCTCTCCTTCTCTGCTCGTGTCTCAGGAGAAATGGATGGAAGTGGCCCCCATGTCGACCGCACGCGCAGGCATGTCAGTGTCAGCGGTTAACGGGCTGCTTTATGCAGTCGGAGGCAGGGCTGCCAGCAGAGACTTTTCTGCCCCGGTCACAGTTGACTCTGTGGAAATCTATGACCCTCACCTGGACACGTGGACTGAGGTCAGCAACATGATCACCAGCCGCTGTGATGGAGGTCTGGCGGTGCTTTGACAGGCACAATTTAAAAACAAATGTTCCGATTCAGACGAGTAAACCCAAGTCATCGCATTGTTCAAACATGAATTACGCTCGTCTGTCATTTCTGTCATTTCCTTGTCCCATCTTACAGTGTCTAAGAGGGATAACTCATCATGGTTTATTAATAGTTTTTAATGAAGTCATAATTATTAGACTTCACACTCACCAGGTTTTAGTTTCATGTAAACAATATATTTTTGAAAAAGTCATACTGTTACATTCAAGATGTATACTGATACCTGGAAACTAACCGTTGCCACTGTTAGACGTGCGCCTTGGTTGGTTTTTTTTTTTCTCTGTGTGAATACTAAGGCTAAGATATGACAGCCCTGTTCTTGAATTTTTATTTAACTTTTATATCCAATGTACTGTATGTTTGAGGTGTGTGCGTAGCTACTAGAAATGTGTAACACAACAACAAAAAAGACACTCAACTGCACACTATCACTGTTTCTACACCAGCTCTTTGATAACCCATTTCCCACTGGTTTGGTTTGGTACCCACAATACTTTGTCATGTACAACCAAATAAATACATCTGATATTTGCTGGAGAATACTGCGTCTTACATTTCATCCCATTTGCACCGGGTAAAGTCATTTTTAGTCCCGTTTTTGTTCTTTTGCATTCTGTCACATTTACTGTTGTGCACAATAACAGTACGATCAGTCGGCTAATTATCTACATAAAAAAGAAAATGATGCAAAAAAAAAAAGATGTCATTTTTAGTCAGAATAAATATTGAATAAACTACTGCAGTTTTTTTGCAGAAAACACAACAACGTGGTACTCTTTACAGTTTTATTAAATACAGATCAAAGAACAAAGTAGTCTTTTCGATCAGCCCTTGATCTCCCTGAACTTCTTTTCAGGACAGAACTTTTTAATGATCAGCGTAGCCACCAGCGAGAAGGTGGCAATCACGGTGAGGACAGTCCTCATGGCTTTGAACCATGCGGGGTACCCAGGCAGAAGGACCAGGTCACAATGTAGTGACAGACCCAGCCCCATGATCACTATCAGAGCAGCCTCTGTGATGTTGTCCTGGCAGAGCAGTGCCAGCCAGGCCAACAGTGAGGGTACTACACTGTTGCCCAAATTCATCCAGTCAGGCTGAGCCGGACTACCGGCAGGGACTGCAAAACCCCAGCGAGCACCTCCGAGGAAGGACACGATGCAGGCCCCATAAACAACCTGGGCATATGCCACATCTGGATGGAAGGACTGGGACACGACCATCAGGAGAGGTGCGGAGAGGAAAGGGATGAGTCCGGAGAAACCCAGATACAAGGCTGGTTTAGGAGCCTGAGTGAGTATCTTCAAACCCAAGTTGTCACTGGAACCTCCGCTGTTTGAGGTGTTTTGTGAATCATGCTGACTGAAACGTGATGCATGCCAGCTAACTGGCCTTGTGCTTAACAGCTTCTGAGATGAAGTTCCTCTGGAGAAAAAGTGGGAGCAACACAGAGGCTGGAGTTGTTGCAAATAGTTTGGTGTCGTTGTTTTGTGCTGAAGACATCTCCAAACCAAGACCTGTGAATATAATAATCCAAAGAAGGGTGTAAATGTCCTAATGTTATATTATTATCCACATTTGTGGATAAAATTATATGAGATTACAGTATGTAGTTTGGTGCATAGTAAACGAGGCACATTTAAGGCTTACCCGATCAATGATGCGCCGTCCAGTTGGAATTCTGAACATTTTAGGCTGAAATGAAATATTAATTAAATATTAATACAACATTACAAAAAAATCAATTTATGTCAGTGTAGTGGTCGCTCTAAACGTAAGCATTACAGTGCTTTGCTTTTAAAGACCAAAATAAAGATGAAATGCAAAACAGACGTGGTGTAATTAAAATGTATTCTGTACATTATCAACAACCCACCGAAGCTGCTGCGACCTCTTGTTTTTTTCCCCCGTAATTCGTATTACAGAAGTAGCTTGACTTGAGGTCGTTTTTCTTGTTTTTTTTCGTAATTCGTATAACAGAAGTAGCTTGACTTGAGGTCGTTTACGTCGCTGTCTTTCTATCGTTGCTCGATTAAATGCCTGTTTCTGAAATGGCGAGACGAGAGTGTGGATCGACTAGTTTGACTGGGGGTGGCGGGGACGCATAAAGTTATGTTCAAGTTGTCACATTCTCAATGCATGCACTACTTCCACAACTATCTCTCGCATGTATTTAAAAATATCACACATTTCTATTAAATATTGATATATTTGTGTGTATTTGTTATTTGCAGAATCGGGTGAGAAAAAAAACTCTTTTTAGGATTAAAAACATAGCGGAACACCAAAAGTCTGCAATAACAGTGTTGCTCTTGAACGCAGCACCATTGAGCCAGTTGAAACCATTTAGTACCAGCGGTAAGCACTCTCGAAACCCCAAACAAACGTCAATAGCTTTGTAAGCGACATGGTTGTAGTTGGCCAAAAAGTTGAGTCTAGTTGGTGTTTTTAGCTTTATTGCGTTCTTCAAACCACTGTTCACTGGAGGCTATCTCGCTCCAAAGAGGCGACAGGGCATCGTCGTGAACTCAGCAAGTTAGCTCGCTAGCACTTAGCAAACTGATGAATGTGTGCTGCCGCTGTTAAGGTAGCCATTTTGAAGCCGTGTTGTTTCAACGAAACCAGGTCTGTTTACCTCTATTGTACCTCCGTGACAGTTGTTTAAATAAATTGTGTTAGACACTGTTGTTGTATTAATCTCGTTTTTACTTTTATGAGTCTTCCAGCCATAAAATTCTATTTGAATCACGTAGCAGGATTTGCGGACTATCTAACGAGCTAGGTAACACCATCTTTAGCTAATAGTTGGTACGCTTACATTGATATCGGTGAAGTCAAACACATATAACAAATCGCGAAGTTGAGATGGGTATTAGGAAAGTTTTAAGCCTTTGCGGGACTTTGTTGGTTCGTGACTTTACGTCTTTAATGGTTTAGACACAGTTTTCCAACACAGTGCTAAGTCTAGTTAGCTTGACGAAGTGTGTGTGTGAAACGGTGCTGTGTTGCAGTTTTCGTGGACATGTGCGTGTTGTCTGTTTTCTATATTGGTTTCATATAGTAATTTGAAACATTTTTTTTTGCTGTCTTTGGTGTTTTATCCGTTTCAATGTGAAGTGACTTTGCGCATGTCGCACGCAGTAGTAAAGCTGTGTCGGACCGATTGAAGCTGAACTGTTATGTAATACTTCGGAGGGAATACGTCGACGAGTCGGTGGCGGCTTTTAGCGTGTGTGTGCACCGTTTATTTGTGTTTTGGTCGTAATGCTGTCGACTATTTTAATGCGTCATAGTTGACTTCGTAATTGAAGTCTGAGATGTCAAACCTGAGGTGACGACCACACATTAACTAACTGTCAGGCCCGTTTAGATGCACAAGTTAAAACACTGTTTCTCAGTTGTGTTTACTAAACTGTGTTTAATTGTAAAACTTGCTATGATTGCTTTAAAAAAGAATTAACTTAACTTAACTATTTTTCTCAGAACCTTTAAACAGGTACGTTTTTGGTTGTCCCTGATCTTAATTGTTAATTTTGTACCCTTTTGATGAACAACAGTCAGAAGTGGGGTAATGTTCAACAAGTTCCATGCAAATCATCCAGGTTTTTCCAAGCCATTTGTTTTTTTGAGAAGATCCTGACCATTATCCTGCAGTGTACAGATTTTCTGTTGGATTAAGATCGGTCTTTATCGATTTTGTAGTGTGCTTTTGCATTTTATCATGTGAAATGGCGATAAAAAAAGACTTGTTTGGTTGGACAGAGGCGCTTGTATAACCCGTGGAAAAGTACCTGTTTTTTTCTGTGAAAGGAAACTGTTAAAATGCAGAACAACTCTGGACATATTTTTAAAAAGATGTGTTGTGGTTTCTTGTTTGCTAAATTTGGCTTTTTTTTTCTATTTATTACAGATCCATTTTGTTCCTGTGTATACATCTTTAAACCATCAGCAGCCAGCGTGAAAAACTGCACTGAAACTTCCTTGTGACGAACAGACACATATAACGCTTGCTTTAAAAAAAACAAAAAACTTGCAACTTCAAAGAAAAATTAGGTTGATTCAGCTTACTTTTTTTAAAATCCACTTTGCAATTGAATTGCTCTTTATGAAGACACAAAGACCGTCTTGGCTTGCAGATGATTTTCATTTAGCTTCTGAGCTTGCATATCTATGAAATCAAGGCTACATCCTTTATCTGCTTTAATCAAAAATCATCAGATAATTGAATGGGCAGCCTACACATGTGATATTAAAAATTGTAAAGATAAACAGGAAATATCATGCACACTTCAACAGCGCCCCAATTTCACTAACCAAAACTGAAAATGCTGGCAATGTAACATAGGGTATTCCCTTCATTTTTTTGTCATGTGACTTTGAACCTGTTGAGCATCATTTTTTTCTTCAAACACAGACAGTCTTTTCACCAGTTTAATGAGGTGAGCAGTGGGGCTCAAGTGACAACCATTGCCACGAAAAGACTGTCTCTGAGCACATTTTTTCTATTCTGCGTGAGTTGACGTAAATCTTAAAATGATTCGGTGAGAGATAGACACAAAAGAAACTGGCACGCAGTGTGGCAGGACAACATCCGTCTTTTCCTCCATCTGGTGCGCAAGTGGAACTGCTTCACAAACTGCTGTCCATGATTCAGGGCAGACAACTTTCACAGACTTCTTTCTCGCAATAGGAAAAACAAAACAAGGGACAGTCTGGCCTTCTCCTGCCAGTGCGAAAAAAAAATCCTCTATCAAATCACTTAATTTGCTAATTTGCATATAAAAAATTTGCTTTGAAGACATACTCCTAAATTGGTAGCCTAAATGGCTTCAAGTGAATAAGTAAAGAAGTGAGCTTGCTTTTGGGGAAAAACAAACATTACCTGGACTGGAAACTTCATCCGTCGGAGACGTGACAGGAGCTGCCTTGAGAGTCGCATTCAACAAGGGGAAATCTTTCCTTGCAGACCTTCCTTGTGCCCTTTGAAATATACTTCCAGCTTTGGACAATTCTCTGGATCGCCCTTCCAGATCATTCCTGCAACCCTTAGACCCATTTTCCAGTGTTTCACCCTGGACAAAAGGATCACCCTCTGGAGAAAGGGGCTGCATTGTCCTGGTGGAGAGGGGGTCGTCGGTGTGCTGCTCCCCATCTGTCAGTGCACGCAGACTGTGGTCCACGCCAATAGGCCTGAGGAACCAAGCCCAGTTGGACCGAGAGGAGGCATAGGACTTCAGAGCCATTGACTCTGGGGTAATAACAAACGGCTTCATCTCACAGACTTGGGGGAAACATTTTGTAGTTAGATGTCCAACTGTCAAGGGAAGCAGGTCTCCGATACTGAAGTCAATATGAACCAGTGTTAAAAAAACATTATTCACATACTGAAGTCAATATGAACCAGTGTTAAGCTAATTTTTCTCGCTAATCTGTCAGTAGTTAAAAAGAATCATCGTTTCTACAGACTCAGTTTTGTGACAAGTCAGGTGTCAGGCAGCTGTGTACAATAGTACAAAAAAATTATAATATGGCAGCATCTTTCACATTCTAAACAGATGCAGTAAACACAACAACAAAGCTGTTTTCAGTTCCTTTTTCTGCGAAGTATAGAATTGTCCTGTGGGAAATATGAAGGCTAGAGTGGTGCAGCGGTAGGACACCCATCTACCGATGCAGCTTCCGAGTTCGATACCACTGAGTCATGAGATCTCAAGTTAGGTTGCAGTTGGTTTCAAAACTGCCAAATCAATGCGCGGACTACTACTCTGGTGACCACTGATGGAGGGACTGTGTGTTGTGGGAAATGTTTGATTCGGTTTTTGTTTCGCTGATTATTGTTTCTGTGATTAGATCCTGGCCATGAGGTTTGATGCCTCAATCCACTGACCAGAAACACTGGACCTAAATGGCGCAGCATGACTTTGTCCCTGCCTGGCTTAACTTCTCTACACCCCAGCCTGCCAAGGTATTTGTCTACGCTGTTTAATTGATCTGTCAGTTATATGTGTGTGTCAAGTGATAACAAACATATAAAGTTGTGCGGTTAACTCTCACACTGGCCTTGTGAAGTGGAATCACATTGACCATAAGATAAGGCGCACGCGAGGGTCAATGTGTAAAGCAGTACTTTTTTTTTTTTTATAAACATTACTCGACCGTCTCTAGACTAACAAATCACATAAAGAGCAATGTCTATTGTGCCTTCGTGCCCGTGGCAGAAGTTAAATTACTCCGTTTGAAACATTGTTTTGATTTTCTCCTTTATCGTTAGCGTTACGGTTATTTGCCGATTTGCAAACCCAAAGCATCGGCATTAGGACAGAAAGAGTCAGTTTTGTGCCTGTCAGACTTTGATGACATGTTGTTCTGGTGTTTTACTACTCACCCATCCACTCCCGTGTTCATATAGAACGTCCGTTTGCACTACTTTTTTTTTTTTTTTCCAACTAACCTACTTCCATCAAACCCATCTCTAGCTCTCAGCAAATTTGCTGCGATTAAGGCCATGGATTTAACCTCGATCCCAGTCTTACTACTGATCCACAGTGACTCAACGAAATTGCGGTTTGATTGGACTTTATTATAGAGTCAAATTCAGTCTATTAATAATCTTTTTCTTCAGAACAGCTGGCAGTTTTGTTTTCCACATGAACAAAAAGCACGTGTTCCTTTGAGGGGGGAATAGCACTTGACAGTTACTTTATATTTTGCTTGTTGAAGCTGCTTTTAAGTAGTGGGTTAAACATCACACACAGACACACACAATGCCTTCTTTGTATGTTCTCAGATGTCTCTAGTTATCCAGGTCACACAATAGATGCAAACAAAGAGTCGTTTAGCTGCAGTGTTTGTTTAAGATACCCGGGCAATAAAATTGACGGTTGAAGATCTGTGCGCTCACCTCCAGACCAGTTAATTTCCTGCAGAAACGCACAACTGCAGGTGTTGATGATGTTTCTCTTGGGTTCGATGCACTTTTTTTTTCTTTTTTTTTTTTGCTTTGATCATTTTTTTTTTGGTTTATTTTGATTAATTCATATTTCGTTTTAAGTAATGCTACACACATCAGTAGTAGTATGTAAATCACCTCATTGATCTCTGGGGAGAAATTCATGCATATGGCTTGTTCCAAATGTTACCAAATGTGTATTGTTTCAACATGACCTCACAGATGAGTCTCGGTGAGACGTTCTCAGTCTCCCTGTCTTCTCTCTGTCTTCCCACAGTCCCCTGCTGCCAACCTTGACAAACAAGGTGAGCCCCATCATCACAGAGACGGCAGAGCTGCTGTAAGCCGCCGCCGCCACAACTCTTCTGATGGTTTCTTCAACAACGGCTCTCTGCGCGCTCCAGCAGGTAACCTTGTAGTATTGTAAGCACCTGTACAAAATGCGACAATTGTGACAATATTTGTGTGTTTTATATGCAAAAAAAAAAAAAATTAATTAGTGTCTTGGCTGCATTAGGGTTCAAAACTCAAAATCCGATGCACAGATCACACCCTCTAAATGTACAACGATGCACCCTCTCTTTTTAGGAGATGGTTGGCAGCAGCCTTCCCTGCTTTTGAGACACGACTCGGTGGACTCAGGGGTGGCCAAAGGAGGACATGGTGGGCTGGCAGGGGGATCGTGTTGGAAGGAAACACCCAGCTGGCATGGAGCTCCCAGGGGCTCCCAGGACTGCCACCACCACCAGGGACGCCACCCCAAACGGGGAGGTGGCGACAGGGACAGGCAGGGGGGGCACCGGCAGCGCAATGGTAACTTTCATTCCCGCAAGGGCACCTCGTACCAGGACAAGTTTCCCAATGAGGAGCGCAAAGATGGCAAAGACGATAAGCTGAAGTTTGTGGAAGAGGACTTTGTGAGTAGAGAAATATGTTGTTGTTATTTGTATTTATATTACATGTTTCTATTTTAACGTACAAGTAGCTGCAATCTACCTTCCTGCAGCTAAGTCTTTTTTCTTTCTTTCTTTCTTTCTTTTCGTCAGCCTTCCCTAAACCCTGAAACGACTGGAAAGCCTGGGAGTCAAATTCGAGCAGTGGCTCCACATGCTGGAGTTTGGGGTAAGATTGTTCATGGACTAAATGTAGTGCAGTGTTTTTCAACCTTCTTGACCTCATAGGCTCACCTGTTCATTACTTAAAATAATAATAATTATTATTCTTTCTATAATTATGATTTAAAACACCAAGCACATGCACAGCCACAAATTTCTGATGTCAGAATGGGGTCACAAGTCAAAAGTCCATCCATTAAAGTCTAGAGGTTCTGTTGTAAGGAAATGAATCGACCCAATTAGCTCAAAATAACACTGAACCATTAGGTACGTGTACAATTTAATTATCATATTAAAATAGTTTGAGTACCCCGTTTCCATAGTAACACAAGTGACTGGTGTCTTCGTTCAAGCCTCTGTATTTACGAAAGGCAAACGAGAAGAATAAAACAGCGGAGCGACATTATCAAAGGTCAACATTCGGATTTCTCTGATTGTGTTTCAGAAAACCCCCCTAGTGGCAAACAGATGGTGTCCAAAATGCTGGTGATCAAGAAAGTTTCCAAGGAGGACCCCAGCACAGCTTTCTCTGCTGGCTTTGCCACGGCTGGCATACAGCCCACCAACGGCAACAAAGCTCCCCTCGCAGGCTCCAGCGTCTACAAGAACCTGGTTCCAAAACCTGCCGTGGCCCCCACCAAAGTAAGAATGTCACAAAGTGTACACAGGTGGTGAATGGCTGGTGGAGAGCGTTTTTAAAAGGCAGATGCTGGTTTAACAAATCTTGAGGTTTATAAGGTTCTTAACTGTGGGGATTGTTAACTCGTGCATTAGTGGTTTCATATAGAGATTCTCTTGGTTTTGTGGGAAAGAGCACGGTTACTTCAGTTTTGTTCTGAGTGTATCTTCTAAAAGCAGAATGTTGTTGGTCAGGTGTGAGTGTATCTTGTAAAAGCAGAATGTTGTTGGTCAGGTGTTGCAGGTTTAAATAATCAGATGAATTTTCTGTTATCTGGATGCACGGAAAAATATAGTTTTACTATGTCATGCACATAATAATGTTGGTGCTGTCTAATAATATTACCAAATGAAAGCGTATATAAGTGAAAGTAAAATTTTTTAAAATTTTTTTAAGGGAAAAATACATTTTTTTTCTTATTATAATTATTCTAAATTCAAATCTAATATAAAAATGGTCAGAAATTACATGATTTTGCAGCGAAACTACTGTTTTTAATGTCTATGCCAGAAAAAGAGATGGACAAAAACTGGAGTGACAGTGAAGTTGAGGTTTAGAACCGATGAGTAAATCAGAATTAAAAGTGTCTGCAACTTTCTCAACTTTTTGTTTGGTCCTCACCTCCAGAGCACCCAGTGGAAGTCCGGTGGTAGAGAAATCGCAAAGTCTGGCCTCCACATGCCAGGCAGAGACTCAGTCTTCACCAGTCCCGTCTCTACAGCCAAACCGAGCACCCCAGTTAGCGCGCCGCAGCACAACAATCCAAAAGAGGTGAGGGCAACGGGACAAATCAAAATTCAGCAGCTGCATTACAAGAAGAGGATTAACAGTCAAACTACATAGTGGAACTTTAGAAAGGAGACTACTAGTTAGGAAAGTGGGGACTTCCACAGGGTGGGAGCACAGAAGGAGAAGTTAAGTACAGAAGGAGAAGTTAAGTACAGAAAAGTGCTAGAATAGGAGGTGCTCTCTGATGAGTAGCAGTGATATGTTTATCATACTCCCTGCATGATCTTAGCGGCTGATCTACCCCCAGGTTTAGAAAATGACAGGTTTGATGTAAACACAGTCATTACGTGTTGGTGTGGTTACGGACAGCCGCGCTTACTCACTGCTGCTCATCAAGTGTTCATCAGCAGTGGTTTCTCCACTGTGACAAAATAGGGATGAGCTTCCTTGACAAAGACTTGGTAAATATTTAACTACAGGGAAACAATGATCAGAGTTAAAAAAAATGCCTGATATACCCCACCTACAGCAGCCATCCAGCACAACTCCTCCCATAGACATCGCCCCGTCGCGGCTCAAGCTGATGCGTCGCGGTCCAGACCGTAAGAGTGAGTTCCTGCGAGCTCTGAAGGACGAGGGCACCGGAGAGCTGACCACGAGCAGCAGCCCGGGAACATCAGGAGAGGTGGGCAGACACACGGGACTCCATGGGTTTTCATTGGATTTATACTGACATGACCTTGAGACTGAGGAGGATGAGCTTGTAGTGCAGTATATGACTTTTTAAAAGTCATGATTTATGAACGATGTGAAGCTTATGACACCCCCCTTCTAATGCGAATGTTTTCAGGGTGAAAGCAACACCCCGGAGCCCAAACCTTACAGTGAAGAAGTCTGCCATGAGAACGGTCTGTCCTACTCCCTCAGTGACTCAGACACCGAACACCTGTCTAGCTCTCTGGAGGCTGAGCACAGGTACAACACAGCTACCAGCACTTCTTCTCACACACACACACACACACTTTCATACAGGCAACTAAGCAGAAAAAATATCTGCGCTTACGTAGGTTGCTGAAGGCCATGGGCTGGCAGGAGTATCCAGAGAACGATGACAACTTCCTGCCTCTGACGGAGGATGAGCTGAGAGAGTTCCAGACTAAAACTGAACAGGTGAGCACATCAAGAAGAGTTCGCGACGTCATCAGATTTGGTTTTTTGTTCTACACACTAGACACGATTACGATAAATAATCTAACCCAAGTAATTTAAGTTAGGTTACGGCTAGCCTGAGGCTAATCATTAATGCGGTTGGGCTTTTTCAAATATTTCGTAACCTCTGAGTTGAAAAACAAATGTCAAATTCCTCGCTGTCCAACATTTTTTCCAGCTGAGGAAAAACGGCATGCAGAGGAACGGGGTTCTCCCACGGGCGCGGGGCGTGACCCTCCACTTCACCCCCTGGAGGAGTGTGGCGGAGGCACACGTGGAGGAAGGCTCGGAGTCAGAAACCAGTAGCAGCAGCAGCAGCAGTCAGACCTCGGACGACGACGACTGCATCAAATCATAACGTGGCTTTACGGAACAAAAAGAAGAAAAGAAAAAAAAAAAAACAAAAAAAAAACCAACAACACAACAGCCAACAACACATCCCACTTCGCAATTCCCGTCTCCCTCTTTCATCGTTGTTTTTAGAGCACCATTTTTGAATTTCTTTTTTTGATTTTATTTTATTTTTTTGATTTTTGTTGTTGTTCTTGCACAAGGGAAAAACCAATCATATCCCAGTGAAGGGGGAGATTCCTGCTCTGCCAGACGTCATTTTCCCTGCGTTTCCTCCTTCACTGCAGACCCTGCCCCTCTCTCACTCAGCCACCCTCACCTTCCTCCTCTTCCTCCACCACCTCTTCTTCCTTTTTTTTTTTCTTCCTCGCTTTGTGGAACTGAAGTGTTCATCAAGAGAAGAAGGGCAACAAATGCACACTTGATTCTGCTTCAAAAAGACTAACTCATTTCATTGATGATGCTGATGACACATTATTAATGATATTAATAAAAATTGGTTCCTGACAAGCTGATATGTTTCAATATGAATCGGGCTACTGTGCTGATTTTGGAGTATTTGAGGAGTCGCAGGGTTCAGATTTCTTTTTTTTTTTTGTTCTGCTTTCACTCTGAATATCATCTCGGCTAACTGATTTCTAATACTTGCTTTTGTATGTACTCGGTGTTTATACTTAGATCCAGTACCACAGTTAAATACTGTCAAATCTTCCGTAGATTATTTTTTTCATTTAGACTCTAAATGATGTTACATTTGTTATATTTATACATTTTTCAGTTACCATATGCCTATACATTTGCCCTCTGCCTTTATCTACTAAACATGTGAAATTAGGCCTTAAAATTTAATAAATAAAGGCAAGGGACTCAGACCTTACGACCTCAAATATCCTGAAGATTTGACTACAAGGGTTTAGAAGAAATCCCTCCTTTAAATAAGAGATTATCAGTGATCAACAGTTGTCTTGAGAACAGGTTAGATTCCATCTTGAAACTACCTGTAATCCTAGATTATTCTGTGTCGAGAACAGCAGTTTCACTGTAATTGCCTTGATAGCCTTATTTGCACTAAATTCCTAAACTGTAGAATGTTGTCTAGTTCTGTTAAGTTTATTAACCAAGGATAAACTACTGTTTTTTTTTTTTTTTTTTACACAGATGTGAGAGAAGTATAAAAAGACCGTCACTAAAAGTCCATTTATATGAAAGCCTGACAGAAACGGTGACAGAGGTAGGAGATTCTATCAAACTTTTTATTATTTAACTTTACAGGTGACATGAAAACAGATTAATACATTATTTACAGCAATGCAGTTGGATTGGCAGGTTAGAAGAGAGGAGTCTCGGGTAGACGCAGCCCAGTCGGACTTCACTGACTGAAAGAAAGAAACTTCAGTTAGTCTTCAAAGAAGGTGAGTAGAACCACCACACCTGTGAAAGGCCAGTCTGTGTGGAAAAAAAAAACAACTAAACCCAGTACCTCTCCACTTCCATCTTGTTTGTGTGTCCGTTTTCTTTGCCGGCAGGAAGCTCCTGCCCCTCATCCTGCTTCACCTTCTTGACCACAGGTTCTTTCACTGGACTCTCATCTGGCTTCCTCTAACACAACAAAACATTGGTTCAATTTTAGAGGATTTTTAGTGCAATTATGAAATAAAAAAAAAATTTTTTTTTGCAAACTTTCAGCTTCCCAACCTTAAAAAAAAATATATTTTTTTGCAAACTTTCAGCTTTCCCAACCTTTTTCCTGACCAGGTGGGAGATATCAGTGACTGGAGCTGCAGGAGTGTGACCATTGGTGGATGCGGAGTGTCCATTGGTTGAGGCACCATTAACCTGGGAGCAGAGCAGTCAGATTGATGAGATCGCACGAATCACGTAAGTGGAAAACTTGTGAGCAGTTGTCTTAGACGACTTACCTTTACGCCGGAAGATGTTTCAGTCTGTGCTGCCGTCTCGGAGGAGAATCCAGAGGAAGTGAAACTTTCACCCTGATCGAGTAACAGTTCAGAGTCAATGAAATGAAACATAAAAAGTACTTACTAAAACTAGGTATTACTAGACCTAGTCAAATAATCAGGCTAAAGTTATCAACCTGCACTGAAAATGCGGCCAGTTTCACTTTTTAATCCGGCCGCCAAACTTCTCCAAATTATATAATTTATTCATATTATCATAATACTTCTGCCTTTTCCCTGCAGTACCCACGTTTCCCCAATAGATGGTGTAGAAAATGATAAAAGCATTTTAGCCTTTATGCATGACTTTTACATCGTTCACACGAACTCTCCATCTCTCTCATTTGATATGTTCCCAAGGACCAAATATAATTACACCAGGGGCCAGATTTGGCCCGCAGGCCTGAGTCTGACCATATATCTCTCCTTTGTGATCTACTCGAAGACCACAAACCCCTTATTGTGCACCCCTGTGCTAGTCTATGGCGGCGAAATTCCGAAAGACTCACTATGATGCCCTTCACTGCCTCAGAAGCTCTGGCACTTTTGAGTCCCTCGGTGGCGTCCTCCACCTTCTCCTGGATCTCTGGGAGCAGCGTCTTCAGCTCCTCCATCTCCTTCCTCTCCTCAGGCAGAGCCTCGGGCCCCTCTGCCTTGTCTATGAGCTCCTGCAGTTTTTCTGAAGAGCGCATTCATTTAACTCGTTTCACTCTGCATTTTCGTGATATGACGAAACGGCGGGCGTCGAAACCCTCTTACCCAGCCTGCTCTTTATGACGGAGATGGAGCAGTTGAGCTCGGCGATCGCCTCGCTGTACTGAATGTTCAGACTGTGGGCCAGGCCCAGCTGGTAGTGGGTCTCAGCCAGGAGGCGGCTGTCAGAGTCCAGGTGTTTCAGCTGCAGTTTCAGACACTCCTGGAAGTCCTCCAAGGCCTGGGCGTAGTTTCCTGAAATAGATTTGGAATTGGAGTTTTGAAGGAACATTTCGGAATTTCATATTAACGTTAACAAAATGTAGCCGTTTTTGGCTAACTGACGTACGATGGCAACATTTGTTTAACCTAGTCATGTTCTCATCTTTGGAAACTTTAAGATTTATTTCTACCTGATTCAGCAGAAACTTCGCCGAGTTTGAGATGAACCTGAGCCGCCATCAGCTGATCTTCCTTTGACTCTTTCCTTTAAAAAAATAAAAAATAAAAATATTATTTTATTACTCTGTGCTTAACTTGTATTTCAGCAGCCTATCATAGACCGTCTCCACACCTTTTGTAAATGACTTTAGCCACCTCCAGCATCTCCCAGGCCAACTGCAGATTCCCGACTTCATCCCCTTCCTCCTCCTCATCTTCACCACTTTCCTTTGGAAGCACAAAAGTACAAAATCCCACTGTTTGATCCGCTTGAATCTTTCTGACGTCACTTGATCAGATTGGTCAAATACCTTCTCAGCAGCTTCATCTCCTTCTCCATCATCTTCCATTTCGGCATCTTCACCATCGACTTCCTCCTCACCATCTGAGAACATTCCATTAAATGTTGAAAAAAACAAAACAAAAAAAACTTCCAGTTTATGTTTAAGAAAAAAAAAGCACCTATTGCCTCCTCCGTCTCGTCCGCAGCATCCTCCTCTTTTTTGTCCTTTAGCTCGTCATTTTGAGCGGGTTTAGCATCACTCTCACTCTTTTCCTCCGCCTCTCCTTCGGCCTTTTTTTGTTCCTCATCAACAGCTCGTGGCTTTATGTCCTTCTCCCCATTCTCTTCTGTTTTCTGTTCTTCACCTCCATCGTCTGCCCTTTCTGCGTCCCCCTTCTTCTCGGCATCCTCGCCCTTCTGCTCCTCGGCCTTCCCTTCCTCTTTGTCCTTCTCTGCCATGGCGCTGTACACTTGGACCCTCAGCTCGTCTCTCGTTTTCTCTGTTCGGAGGACAGTAAAGTACAGTTGTGTCAAATCAAATTTGTTTACACGTTAAATGACGAGCAACGCTCAAAGATCAAGTTTCCCCCCCCACCGTCCATGTTTTCAGTGCCTTCAATGTTGGGGTCTTTGGTTTTGTCCTCATCCCCCTCCTCCTCCTCCTCCACAGGAACTCCCTCCAGAGCATTACCCAGCACAGAGTTTTCCATTCTACATAAACAACAACAAATGAGATGATCTTTTTCTATCTTTAGTAGTTGTAAACTTTCAATACATCTATAGATTAAAACGAATGAGATGCACTTGAACTTACCGAGCTAACTCAAGCAGTGCTTTTCCGCACCAGAAGAAGGCCTCACCACACTCATCGGCTGTGTCTCCATATGTTTTGGCTCTGCAATATAACAAGTTTAAAAATTATATTATATTATACACATATATATATATATACACACATACATATTATATATACACATACATATATAAATATATATTTTACACACACATATATATCTATATATATAGATAACACTTTCAGTTTCAGTTTACTCATTCTTTGCATTTGTAAAATTTAACTATATGGTTTAGTTCTACAGTTATTGACGTGCATTAGTTCCAAATACTAAACAATTACACCAGACACAATGACTTGACCGTTGCACCATGCAGCCCCTGGTTGTTTGGGGAAAGGCACGTTTACTCGTGTAATGTGTTTGAATTATCTGTACATGGAATAAAACTCACAACATGCCGCAGGCCTGCTGCAGGACGCTCACCGCCTCCACCGCTTTACCCATGACCAGGTGTTTCTTACCGGTACCGATCAGTTTGTTGGCCTCATCCATGTTTACTGACCTGAAGAGACGAAAAAAAAAAAAGTCGAAATAATTAATTTACGTAACTGCAGACATCGAGTGATACCGCGCTGGTTAAAACATATATAAATTCCTACCTGGAGGAACGGTTAAAGACGATGAAATGAGTTAAAAGTTATAAACGGCGACTTCCACAGACTCCTCACAAAGCTGCGGCTGGTGTTTCACTGTTGGCGCGAAAAATCCAAGTTATAGCTCAGCCTTTCCGGTTTACTTCCGTGTTTGAAACCTAGCGCGGGAGATGTCTTAAAGCTACAGTGTGATAGATAGATAGATAGATAGATAGATAGATAGATAGATAATTTAACCTTTGTAATTCCAAATACAATGATGGTTTAGGATGTGTGTTGATTTATAATTCTAAATACAATGATGGTTTAGGATGTGTGTGTATGTATATGTGTATGTAATTGCTCTCTTGTGTATCTCTCTGCATGCACATGTGTTAAAGGCGTGAATGGTGAACGCTGCTGCCACGTCCTGCTGTGAAGGACAGGCACCAAGGGCAGACTTCACGATGCTGCTGCCTTGTCAAGACAAGTCTGGACCTGGCTCCCAATCAAGCACACAGTAGGAGACTCTAACACTCCCCTCTTCAGTGACATCTCACAAGGCATTACTTTAATTGGCTCAATTTGGTAAATCAATCTGCCAAACCCATCACATAGCCTAATCACAGTATTATTTACAGTGGAAATACTCTGAGGGAGATTACATTGGAAAAGTCTCATAATAATGTATTTTTGGCTTTATATACATTACATTAATAAAATACAGGTGCGACATTTTGTGGGGGTTAAATCTCATTAGCATCCTCAGTGGAACACCATTTCCTGGCTCCATCTAAGACAGAGGATGAACCCACGGTAGTGTTTGATCAATATCCCACCGTGGTCTTTCTAACTGGAGGTTATTGTGTTTCTGCCCACTTATCTGGCCCTTGATGCTGCGCCCATGGCAACCGCATTTAAGGCATTGCTTAGAGACAGCAGACAAAGCAGTGTCTGATCAAGGAGCTGTGGTGAGGGGGTTTAAGCAGAACGCAGCATTCGTCAGGTTGAGGTCGCAGGTTTTTTAAATTATTATAAAAGCATAATAACACACAGGGCCAGGCATTACATCAATAAAATGGAATTTAGATTTGCTTTAAATAAAATATTTTTACAGGCCTTTAACTGCTGAATCTGAATGGAGGAGATTGTTGTAAAGTCTAGTCATTGTGTAAACAAGCGATAGGGAGGTCATGAGGAACTGAGAATAAGTTGTACAACCCAGATACTGAATACAGTCAATTGTAACAGAGTGCTGTGTCATCACACTAAATAGTTTGCAGGTGAGTGAGGAGGAAATGACAAAGGAAATTCAATTGTTTTGAACAGCCCCCAAATAATCAAGATATGCAACTAATTTGCCTCGTGGGTGCCTTAAAATTTCACCTTTTCTTTTTATTTGTCCAATTTGATTTTATATTTGACAAAGTTAGACGTTATTTCACTGGGTTAGAAGAGATTTGCACTGGGTGTTGTCTCTGCTGGATTCGTAAGTACTGAGAAGGAAATATAATGATTCACTCACTGATAAGACTGAGGCTCAATAAAGGCAGTACCTTCGGCTACTTGAATGACTGATTTAAAGCACAATCCTTTGGATAATTTTACTAAATTGTCTCTAATTGTTCTTCAAAAACAATATCAGTTTGATCAGAGTGTTTGATTGTAAAACAATGCTATCAGTTTTCCGTTTAACCTATCTATCTATCAATCTATCTATGTATCTGTTCAGTAACAACAATTATTATGTCAAGAAGAGCTCAATAATGAAGCATGACCCACACATATACAATATATTTTGGTCATTTACCCTGAAAAAACTCGAGTTATATGGCTAAAGCAGTCCATGACTCACTGACATTACAGTAAAACATAAATTAAAAAAAATATATTTTAAGTTTATTCCCCCCTATCCCCTCGTTTTGTTCAGTAAGTTACTTTTAACAACAGCGTGAAGATTTCCAGGAGGGAGAGGAAAAGTGCAAAGTCATGCTGTGTCGGAAAGCCCAACAATGGGAGGTGACGTTCTCGCGAGAACCTGCGAGCCTTTATATAAACGTTCCAGGATCCATTCGCACCGTCAACTCTTCAAATCCGCTCATTGGCGACTACTGGTGTAACCCGAGAAGAGGTATGAGTTACGAAATAAGTACATTTTCGTTTTTTTCTACTTTGTTTTTAAAGAACATATTCTCTTAATTGTGCGTTTGAAATTTCAAGTTATTTCTTACGAGTTATTTAGTTGACGACTTTGAGTTGCTTCTTTTGAACTCAAGTCAAAAAAGAAGAACCGGATTATCGACAAGACCATGACAGTTTTTGAAAAATGTTTTTGAAAAAAAAATTCAAAGTAAAACCTTGCTTGTCATTTTTCAGTGTTCGCCGCCGAATTTGTTACACTGACAGAATTTGATAAATACTTTGAGATGCTCCTAACAAATAAGTCCGTATTCTTTTTTCTTCTTCTTGTTTTTTAAGATAACGCTGTGAAGTTTGAGGAAACGTTGCAAACACCTGTGATTTGATTGAGTTTGAAGAAGTGGTTCAACGGTTTCCTTTTGTTTTCTGTAGAGGCTGCGTGTCGACTGAGACTGAGACTGATTTTCAGTCCTCACCGAACCAGTCTGCAATTACAAAACATCCGTTTTTATTGTTTAATATCACGGTAAATGTGTCTTATATAATAAGGCACACTCGACTGAAAAGTAAGGCTTATATCATGTGATGCTGCCAGACTATTTTCGGGAAAATACGTGGGTTTTGTCGCATGTTCTTTGAGATTTGTATTTAAATTTTTTTTTTTGATTATTGATAATTCATAAATAATAAATAAATAAATAAATATTCCATGTTAGAAAAAACAATGAAAACAAGTTAACAAATATTAACTTTTATGTTCAATATGTTGGATTTTATCATAATTATAACCTCGAAATTGAAGCTTAATGTTAATATACTTTGTAGGGACGCTGTTTCATTATTTCAGAACATAGTCATTAACTATTTGTGTCATTTTCTCATGTAATCTAGTCAAACACAAGATGGCAGCAGGCAAAGCTAAAATTGGATATCTGGCCCCAGACTTCACTGCCAAAGCTGTGATGCCAGATGGTCAGTTCAAGGATCTGAAGCTGTCAGACTACAGAGGTACAACTACCCTCCACTACTGGTTCCCGACATTGATGTTGCATCATTTGAGACTCTGATTCAGTTTCCTTATGATGCCCACGTGCACATGCATTTACATGTCTAAAGAATGAATTAACATAGGATAGTTTGTCACCTGATAAACTAATGACATTCATGTTTTTGACTCCTTGATGCAGGGAAATATGTTGTGTTTTTCTTCTATCCACTGGACTTCACCTTCGTCTGCCCGACTGAAATCATCGCTTTCAGCGAAGCTGCTGAAGAATTTAGGAAAATTGGTTGTGAAGTCATTGGCGCCTCTGTGGACTCTCACTTCTCCCATTTCGCTTGGTGAGTTTCAGACATTTTACACTCGCAGGGTGATATTGTAGTGTACCATCTGACACTTCCTGTTAATATTGTCCAAGGACTAACACACCACGAAAGCAGGGCGGTCTAGGAACCATGAAGATTCCCCTGGTGTCCGACGTACGCCGCACAATCTCTACAGACTATGGCGTCCTGAAGGAAGATGAGGGTATCGCCTTCAGGTAATCTTAATTCAACCCCCTCCTCTCCCCCCAGCCCTCCATTTTGTAGATTTTTGTTGTTGGAGTCCTGCTCTAGGACACGTGGATACTTCATGGGTTATTGTTTTCCTCTTCTGCAGAGGTCTCTTCATCATTGATGACAAGGGCATCCTTAGACAGATCACCATTAATGACCTTCCAGTGGGTCGGTCTGTTGAGGAAACGATGCGTTTAGTCCAAGCATTTCAGTTCACCGACAAGAACGGAGAAGGTCAGTAACCACAGCTTTGTTGGCACTTTGTTGGTGATGTTTCACTGGTTAATACTTGTGACATGTATTTGTACCATGATGTGGTAAGATGTGGAGTCTTACGATTATTAGCTTTCCCTTTTCAGTCTGCCCAGCTGGATGGAAACCAGGAAGTGACACCATCAAACCTGACGTCCAGAAGAGCAAAGACTTCTTCTCCAAGCAGAAATAAGCACAAGATGGGATTCTGCTGTCTGCTGTAGGAGGAGTTCAGAGATTACATTTCCATTTTGAAAAGCTTTTGTGCCTAAGAAGAAATGTTTAATGTTAACGTGTCAGTTTAATTGCTTGCAGAGCTTGTAGTTGTGCACGTGGGACCAAACCATTTTTTGTAAGAACTGTATTTAATGTTGGTTTACTTTTACTGTATGGGCTTAGTGTTTATTTGTTCACGTCAGTTGTAAGTTAATATTATTAATAACATTGCATTTTTTACTGGACAAAATGCTAAGAAAAAAAACAACACTGCACCTCCTTTTACACATGTCAATGTTATTTCATCAAAATAAAGACTTAAAAGATAATTTAAGGAAATCTAAGGAACACATTTAATTTCAGTTTAAGTGAGGCAACTTGTATTTCAGGTAAGTAAGCACCCAAACCTTAGATTTGTATTTGTATTTCAGGTAAGTAAGCACCCAAAGCATCTTTTACATATTTTATTTAGTATATATATCAGGCTTTATGTTAGACATTCTTATTTACCTGTTTTATTATTATTTATTTTTTACATATGAAAGCCAGTTTCTGACTTAAATAGTTTTTAAAATTGAATTAATATAAGTGAATAAAGTAATAAGTTTAAGACATTTTGTTTACATTATCAAAAGTGTTTACTTTGCCCCTTTATTATTTACATTTAATTCCACTCTTTTATATCAATCTGTAGTACCTGGAGGCATTTTAGTTATGGTTTTCTGAAAATAAAAATTACTAAAACATTCTATATATCTACAATGTACACTACAATTGTATAATACATTGTAGCATAATCTAAACTACGTCACCTGTCGGCGGGAAAACGACCTCGTCTATTTGCGTCACCACTTTTTAACTTGATTCCTTTAGGAAACAAGCGTATATTAAAGCGTACTGTATTCAGCTAGGCTGTGTTTAACCGCAAAGGTCTATCTACATAAGTTATCGGTATTGTAAGTGTTGTTAGATTCGAAAAATATTTAATATTTTTTCGCTAAGTTCGGTCATTTTGAGCGTAGCAATGGCGCCAGGAAAAATGGCTGTCAAGAAGAAACAGGAGGAAACTACAGAGGTTTGAGCACGTTACACGTCAAATTCAAAGTTCTCAACTATGTTTTCGTAAATGTGTTTATTTATAGCTAACAACATTAATGTCTACACAATGAGATTATGTAAACGATATGCTAATTACGCGGAATGAACAGACGTGTTAATTGAGTAGTAAGGCTAGCTAGTTATATGTGTAGCAAAACAGCAAAACCACATTTAAATAATGTATTCTCTCTTTGAATACCATTTAACGTCCTTTGCTATGATGTGTGTAATTTTGACGTATTTATAGCTAATTGTTGTTTCTGTCAAAATGGTGTTTTTGTATATTAATTTAAAGTGGACAGGATTGTTCATGGGTGACCTCAAAACCAAGCAAGAGTCTCTGGTCTTTGTCAAGAGAATGATGGCTTTGGCAGTGTCTTCTATTACTTACATCAGAGGCATTTTTCCAGAGGATGCCTACAGATCCAGATATATCGAAGGTAAACACACGTCAGTGCAAACATGTCCTGTAAATTGCCACATTCTTGTTCTCCTCAAATTTGTTTAATTTCCGTAGAAACTTAACAAAAGTAATTAACAAACCAAACACTAAATAGTATTTGTGGTATTTATTATTATAAAATTGTGTAAAAAGTATGCATTTTCTAAAAAGTGTGGACTAACTATATTTTGTTTTGAAATAAAAAAGAACACATGAGGGCGCCATTTTACCATATCCTAACATCACCGTGTAGAAATGTTTTGTTTTTATAGGAAAGGAAGGAAAGCGAACTACTTGTCATTGTGACACAGCACACCACTGCACACAACCAAACTTCTTTTTCTTTTTAACCATTGTTGTGATTTTGATAGTTACTTTAATTTACTCTTTGTTGCTTGCCTTTTTTTCAAAGACCTGTGCGTCAAAGTTTTACGAGAAGACTTCAACAGACCTGGTGCATGCAAAGTTGTAAAATGGTAATTAAATTATCCATGTTTTGTTGGTCTGATACTGTGATGTATGTGAATAGAAGTACTTAACACTAACTTAAATCTAATGAAATGTAATGTCTGTATGTTTCAGGATGATGGGCTGCTTTGACGCACTGGAGAAACAGTATGTAAGTTATTTTCACCCTACAGTATAATGGGACCAGTGTATAAATTAAGACAACATAACACAAGAAGTTCATAACACAATATATTATAATACATATCAAAATTACAAACTAGTTCTTTGATATTTTGATAATTTTTAATGTCTTTTTTACAGCTCCAGATTGTGTTCATTGGGGTAAGTCAGTAGAATTGATTATTTTTACTCAATGTTTGCATAGACATGGCAGACACCAGGATGGTTTTGTGCTTTTCAAATCTAGGTGCACACCAACCCAGATGAACCAAATGTAAGTTTACTTCCAAAGTGAAACATAGATAGAATAGAAATAATACAGGAGGAAACATTAATGTTTGATTTTTTTTTCTTTTTATCTAGTGCATTATTGAGTCCTACCAGTTCAAAATCAAATACACTGACCAGGGCCCAGAGATGGACATTCTCAGGTTTGGTTTGGATGTGAAGTGCTGTGCTTGCACTAACGTCACGTTAATGCCTCAACTGCAATGTCATTTTCATTATACTGCAGGAACAACTTGGAAATGGAGGTGACGGCTGACGTCAAGACAGCCTCGGTGCTGCTCATCAGGAAGCTTATCCTCCTGTTGCAGAACCTGGACCCTCTTCCCAAAAAGGTCTACCTCAACATGAAGCTCTACTATTATGACGAGGGTGAGACAAGTCTTTGACACACCTTTTAGAAAAAAACAAAACAAAAACAACAACAACAACACAACTTATTTTCTCTATGTTTGCTCATATCTCCAAGTCACACCTGAAGACTACCAACCTCCTGGGTTCAAGGAGGGTGATTGTGACAGGCTGTGGTTTGAGGGAACAGCTGTGCATTTTAGAGTTGGTGAGGTGCCAACAAACTTTCACAGCCTGAAACTTCAGATTTCTACTGAGCAAGGCCGGTTGGAGTCAATTAAGAAGGGGGGCTTCGTCCAAACAGATACAGTTTTGCAGGGAAATCACTCAGGTATCAAGGTGGGTCCACAGAGACATTGCTACTTTGCTCTCATTTCTTCAGCTTTTAAAATATTAATACTAATTAAAACACTTTGTTATAGGCTCCTTCTACAAGAAAATACAGCAATGAACTGCCATCTGAAGATGGTGAGTAAGTGCACTGCAGCTCACACAAAATAAGGTTTTTTTGGGTTGATTTGTTTATCTTACCCTCATGCAGAGTCGGCTCAATTCAAGAAACCCAAAAGGCCTACAGCAAAGGTAAAGAGCTACAAAGCCATGTCTGTAGTATAGCCAGCTGGTAAAAGCAAATATTAGCTGTAGATGAGGGCAAAAATATTAAATACATGAATTCATTTTTTCCAGGTAAACTTAATTCACATACCTTCTAAACACACTGACTTTATTTAAAAAAAAATTGAACTCAACTAGATTAGTGCTCTTCATGGCAGATGATAGCCAGAGTTGACTATGGCGTTTTGTTTTTTGTTTTAGAAACCCTCGGCTGCCAAAAGTCTGGCAAGGAGGAAAAGAAAAGTTTAGTCATCACAGAAAATCTGACAATTCCTGTGATTGACAAACAAGTTATAGTACGTTACACCTGTTCAAATTTTAACTAATGTTCCAGTAAAAGGTTTAATTTAGGGGTTTTAAATAAACACAGAAGTTTTCAAAATAGCGTTTCACATTTATTGGGTTTTCTTTGTGTACAAAATATATCGTGAAATTTAGTGCAAATCTCGTAATCCTTTGCAAGAAAGGCAGATGCGGTGCAAAGTGACTCAATGATAATGACGCGCCGAGAGCAATGACACATAAGCAATGATGCAGAAATAGGCTATGATTAAAGACATGCAATACAAGTTTTTGATATGTACATATCTGACAATATTTCTCTTAGCGATCAAGTTATTCACCAAATTGTTGTAACATAACAGAGCGTTCGCTTAGTTTGACAGAGCATGTGGTAGATGAGAAGATAAACCATCTGTCAGGTGACAAAGCAGCGAAACTTTTGTTTGTCAACTTGACATTGAAACTAAAGAGAGAAGTCCCTAGTGTGGGTTGACAGTTAAAAGTCCTTGTTATCGTTCGTCACCCAGGGTACAGCCACCAACCACTTTATTTTGTTGTTGAACTAGGCAGCACCTGTGACTGTTGTTACAAAGAAATACTTCATACTTTGGTGCTAAAGAACCCATTGTGTATGTTGTCAATTAGAGAAGCATTTAAAGAATTTAAAAAAGTAGCTGCTATATTGTAGTATTGTCCCAGAAAATGTTTTCACCTTTTTTAGCATTTAAAGAATTTAAAAAAGTAGCTTTGATTATATAACTATGGCACATTTTAGATCAATATTTCAAATTTACTTTGTTACCAAAACTACTGGGAAAACGTTTTTTTTTTGGCTCAACCTGCTTAAAAAGAGTCTTCTGTTAATCTTCATCAATATAATTCCACTGATCCAGGCCTGTTTTCTTTCACATCTGAATACCGTTGACGTTCTTACTAAGTGATTACAGAGTTGTCTTGGTCCAGATCATCAGCCAGTGGCTCAGCGAAGGCCTCACCGTTCTTTGTGTGCATCTTCTAGAAGAGGCTGTCCACGTCACCCATCTCCACAAACACAGTCTTCAGCTGGGTGTAATACTCTATGGTTACCTGTCCATTCTCCCGCCCAATACCTGGCGAATGTAGAGATTGTGAATGTACACTGACATCATTTTTTTGCTATAACCGAATGACAGTGGATCATTTAGACCCCAGGTGCATGCGGTCAAACTGTACCTGACATTTTAAAGCCACCAAAGGGAACCTCCACCGGAGTGATATTGTAGTTATTGATGAAACAGGAACCGGCCTTGAGATGTTCAACCACACGATGGGCTCGCTTCACGTCCCTGCGGTTGTGAATCAAAGAAGACGTTAGAGTTGAATGACTGTGGAGAAGTCCCGACCTACGATTTTACTCTGAACCTACCTGGTGAAAACCCCTGCGGCCAGACCCAAGGTGGTGCTGTTGGCTCTCTGGAGCACTTCCTCCTCCGTTTCGAAAGACAACACAGACATGACAGGACCAAAGATCTCCTCCTTCACACAGGTCATCTCATCTGTGCAGTTGCCTGTAGGTGGAGGAGGGGGGCGTGTTTAAGTCCATATATCCATGGTCAACAGTTGTATTTATTTAAATGGCGCAAACTCTCACCCAGCACACATGGAGTCATGTAGTATCCACCTTTGAGTTTAGGGTCTGATGGGTCATACAGTTCACCTCCACACAACACTGTGGCTCCCTCTTTCTTTGCCTGATTCACAAAGTGGAGAACTTTCTCCAAGTGTGCTTTGCTGACTAGTGCTCCCATTCTTGTGCTCTCCATCAGCGGGTCTCCGATCTCTATCGCCTGTGTTCGTTTCACCACTTCTTCGAGAAACTCGGGCAGAATATCTTTCTGAACAAAAACTCTTGTACCGTTGCTGCAGACCTTGTAATATACAGGCAAAGAAAGGGCTTTCAGTCCAAACACAAACTTATACGCTTCTTATATAAAAACCCCATTACCTGGCCTTGGGACAGGAAATTTGCCATTAGAGCTCCTCTCACAGCATTTTTCATATCACAGTCTGAAAATATGAGCAGTGGCGACTTCCCTCCAAGCTCCAGAGTCACTGGTTTGACCCCCTTGGATGCCATCTCCATGATCTGTTGACAAAAGTCACAGGGACACCCCATTCATTGTTCCCATCTGGCTACATATAAGAAGCGCTCTTGTCTTGACAAAACCTGGACTAATACAGAATCCTGAAAAGTTGATGTCATGTCTCCCAAGAAGCCCTGACCTTCTTGCCGGTGGGGACACTCCCAGTAAAGGACACTTTAGCCACATCAGGGTGGTGGCAGAGGAACGTCCCAGTGTCCTCGCCGCCCTGCACCACGCTGAAAAGCCCGTCTGGCGCTCCGGCCTTAGCATAGATTTCTGCGAGCATGACCGCTGTGACAGGAGTCACAGGCGAAGGCTTGAACACCATGGAGTTCCCTGTTGAATAATGAACACACATTGGAAAATAATAACTTTTGTGGGTTTTTTTTTTAAAATATAATTTTGATCTTATTTTTAACCTAAATTTGCGAGAGAGGTTTATATATCACTACAAACAACCAGATATGATTCATTAACAATTACGAATTACGAATTCCCCCATACCACAGGCCAGGGCTGGAGCCGATTTCCAAGCTGCTATCTGAAAAGGATAATTCCAGGCACCAATGCCAACGCAGACTCCCAAAGGCTCCCTGCGGGTGTAGGCAAAGGATCCTCCGGACAACTGCACATGCTGACCTGGTCAAGAGAAAAACAACTGGATCATAAAACGCTCACCTGTGCGAATAAACGGAAAGTACCGCCTTCTTTACGCTGACGACCAACCTGCTAAAGTACTGGCCATCCCTGCGTAGTATTCTATACAGAGTCTGGCAGAGTCCACGTCCAAACGGGCCTCTGTGATGGACTTTCCATTGTTGACCACCTCCATCTCGGCGATCTCCTCTCTGCGGGCCTGTACAGCATAGAAAAACCTCACAGATGTAATACACCGCGTGCCGACGTAGTAAACATCAGAGAAATCTGGTTGTCAAGCCATTATCTTGCGACAAGTTTCGTCACTTAATTGATTTAAATAAGGAGAGACAGACAGAGTGTCAACACCTCAATTATATGAGCGGCTTCAATCATGATCCGTGCTCTCTCCATCCCCGACAGTTTGCTCCAGTGGCCGTAGGCCAGCTTTGCAGCATTCACAGCCTCGTCGACGTCTCCAGAACCACATGGCTCCAAATAGCAAAGGACTTGCCCTTTTGGTGAAAAACAAATACTATAGGACAGTGTTTCCCATATATTTTTTTTTTCTGGGGACCCATATTTTAAAAGTCACAAACCTCCGCAACCCAAGACATTATACGTAAACTCCTGGGAAACATGATGCGAGACGACCTCCCCAAAAAACTCTTGCGACCCACCTGAGGGTAGCGACCCAGTAGGCTATTGTAGTTGGGGATTGGCGTCAACATCACAGTACTGCCAGTGAGGTATGTATTTACTGTGTTAAATAGGTCAGAGAGTTTCTGTTTGACAAAGCCATGTTGCTTTGCCTGTTTGTGTGATTAAAGGACACGATAAAACCTAAGTCATCCTTTGACAAAGAAGAAGGGTTTTAAGGCTCAGCCGCAGGAATTTGGCCTGCAATGTGCAGCATGCAGAAAAGGGTGGGCATCGGTTCTAGCTCAACGGTTCCAAAATTAAGCTTTGGAGAACACAGGTTAAGGAGACTTAACATCTAACAGGCAGGCTATTGTAGTTGGGGATTGGCGTCACTGCCTTCATTAATGCTGGCTTGGCATAGAGGCTACAGCAGTGGTTCTATAAGTGGGTAGACAAGATAGACAAAACATTCAAAAAATAGTTAAGGTGAGGGTGGAGATGAGTGAGTGTCACTGGAATTTAATGACAGTTGAAAGAGCAGAAGGAATAAAAGGAAAGGTTGGCATTGGTACTGAGATATGCTATGATTTGTAATATTTTCATTAGGAGGGACCAGGCTGAATTATTATTCAGATACTAGGTGACTCGTTGTCACGAGAAGTTCTTCTGAACTCCCCATGAGGTTTTCACAAGTGACAGCTTAAAACACGGACGTATAACGCATACGTCACTTTGCCAAGCAGCCTGATTAATGCATGTCTTACCCGTTGCAGGTTCATATACTTTTTCTTTACTGAGCTTCTCTTGGCTCGCCCTTCTCTTGCCAGCCCAGAAGTTCAGCGGTACGGTGACCTTTACCGAGCCCGAGGAAGCGCATCGTACCAACTCCTTATGAGCAGCAACTGGGGCTGGCCACAGAAGAGGCCGCCGCAGGGTCGCCGACAACCTCCGGAGCATAGTCCACCCCTATACACACTAGCTCCACCGCTGTCTACAACGAACACAGATAATGTTGAGTGAAACATCAAAAGTCATATTATAATGTCGTTTATGCGTCTTAGTCAGAACCATATATGCAACGATCACAAAGTGTTTAAATATTAAAATAATTCTATTTAATAACTCAGCGTTCTTCCAAACACTTACTTATTTTGCTGACGCAAAAGCAGGGGACGGGTCTATGCACGACAGGGGCTAAAAGTATGGCAGCTTTCCGAACATCACATTTGATTGGACAGCTTTCCTGTCAATCACAACAAGAACCGTGAAACTTGTAATTTAAAATCTCCATTTTCTTTCTTTATTTTTTTTTTTACCAAACAGCCTCATTTTAAATAAATGCGTAAAATAAATGTAAAAATAAATAAAAGTTATTACGCTTATAATCATTTAAAGTTACGCCAGCGTGGTGGGTGGAGCTCCGATGCAGTCATATCCCAGCACTGTTACTGTGGCAGCACATTGCAAGTATGGCCGGGGACAGTGAAACACATCTGGAGGACCGCGGCGAGAAAACCAATGTTATTCGACAACCTTTTCTCATCGGTGTCTCCGGAGGCACAGCCAGCGGCAAGGTCGGAACCCCGTCGAGCGAAACTAGAGTTTTTAACAAATTGTCATTTCGTAGAAGGGCAGCAGAAAGGGTTGGCAGCTGGCTGCGCGTTGACCGCGTGGCTTCTGCGACGCCGCGTTGATTGACAGCTCAGACTATCATCTGTTCAACCTGTCCAGCTCACAGACCATAGAACCGCTGTTCCTTTGTGTCTGCTACACCGCCTCTGACAATTCGAGATTCGTTTCGACTCGAATCGCCGTTCTTTACGCGCGAGCAGATTCGCTGCGTCGTCCTAACCCACACTTTAGAAAGGCATCTTAAATTTGCCCCACTTGCTAAGCTGAATTCCTTCACAGGCTAGCTTAGCATTGCCGGTGCGAGACAATAGCTAGCTACTCTTAGCCACCAGTGCTGCTAACTCGCCTCAGGGAGGAAATCTGTGTTTGTAAACACAGACAAGTACACTTTCTGTCCACGTTTCCGTAGCGACATTGTGATGTTTATAATCAAAAAGAACTTAATGTATCCTCAGATGTTAAATAACGCCAATGACCTAGATATTGGTGTGGTTAATGATAACAGACGTACCCGCCAGCGGGAAAACATTAGCGGGTCCTTTAAAAAGGCAGTCGCGCCCCCGCTCCCTTTTGTTTTTACTCATAGGTTGCTTAATAAGGAAAACAGGTGCTGCAGATATAGCAGAACAAAACGCATTTCCATTTTGTTTGCATAATAACGGGCACCGTTTCTGCACCTGTGCTTCATTTAGTATTTTCAGACCAACATTTATTTAATACGTCACTACATTTCTTTGTTTAATCTTTTAAAAACGGACGCGTCGGTGTATTTGCGTTAAGCGAATTTCCAGAATTCTCGCTCAGACTGGGACACTGATTTAGAATTTCAATAGCAAAAGTCTTGTTTTTCATAATAAAAAAAACTGTATTTATTTTACGGCGTTGACACAAAAGTTGACGTTTTATATATTTATTTCAACCTCGTCTCAGAAGTCGGAGCACTGTTAAAGGGCCAGTAGTTGTTTTTCTTACCGTAAATCCAGGCCTCAGAACCTTTTATGGGGGGAGCCGGGGGGTGATAGAGTCGCAGGATTCAGGTTTGATACCACCGGAGGCTGAATTGTCAGGAAGATATTATGTGGGGGGAAAAAACTGCCAAATCACTGCAGATATTGTCGATGAGAGTTCGAAATGTTGAGCAATAAATAAACAGTAGGGTAGGTTTTTTTTTTTTTTGTACCTCTGATTTCAAGTGCGTTATTACAGTCATCGTGAGTCAGGTGGCAGCTGACTTCATGGTTGGTGGGGTTAACGAGGGCAAACGAGAGTTGTCGCAGTTGCTGAACTCGTGGCAGAATTTAGCACTCCCCCCTTCAGAACTTGCTTACCTCGACCACAGGGTTCGCTATTTTTTTTTTTTTATTGAATCACGGCTTATTCTGTGTTTCCTGTTTGTTTAGTCGTCAGTGTGTGAGAAAATTATGGAGCTGCTGGGTCAGAACAAGATCGACCATCACCAAAGACAGGTGGCGATCCTGAGCCAGGACAGTTTCTACAAGGTGTTGACTCCAGAGCAGAAAGCCAAGGCACAAAAGGGCCAATTCAACTTTGATCATCCAGGTATAAATCCTGCACGTCTTGTACAATGCTGGCGAAATCACCCGTCTACAGTTTGTACCAGTAGTCAGATGCATGACCATTCTCTTTTGAGCTGGACATTCATCATTTATACCTTACTTATAATTTGTATAGTCGGACATATCTGGGTTTTCAAGTTTGACAAAAAAAATAGATGTATAAATATATGAATACGCCAAACGTATTGATTTACTTTAAGATCCGATGTGACGCAGTTCACATGCGGCGCTACGGGTACCGCCCAAAACCTGCTGTGTACTGAGCAAACAGGTGTTTGACAGGACACGAAGGACACTTTTATAACCTTAATAAATATTGTCGGTATTGATATTAGTGTATTATAACAAGATGGCACAATTACTAAATCAAAAGAAGAAAAAAACAGAAGTTGGAAACATTTAAAATGCTTAATAATAATATATATATATTTAGTTTGACTCTTGATCTGCAGCAGCTTTGGTGCCATGCGGTTCTATTGGTATCGGTACAAGTATAGCCTCCTTTTTTTCTTTTTTTTTTTTTTTTTTTTTTTTTGGAGTCTGACATTGCTGCCTCATGCTCGTATTTCCTTTTTAGGCTCATTTTTAAAAACCCACTGTCAGCAGGCCTCTGCCTCGCGGGCAGCTGCTCTGTGACTCAGACTGGAGCCAACACGTGGGCCATCAGGGATCCCCACATTGCTGAAAGTGCAGTGTGTGTGTGTGTGTACGTGTATCTGGTCGCACACTAGGATTGAGACAGTCTAAGCCTCGTGTGCAGTCGGAGGAGGAGAATCTGCGAACGATTGATAGATTTAGCTTGGTAAATGAAAAAAAAACAAAAAAACTTGGACTTAATCGATGACTGACTCGGGGAGAGTCATCACAAATTTTAAGAAAACCTACAAAGCTTTAAAAAAACAACTGTTGATGCGCTTTGTATGCCAGGTTCAAAATACCAAAGGGACATTTTTCTAATTCAGCTAATATTCAAATGTCAGTTTTCCTTCCTCTCCTCAGATGCCTTCGACAATGAGCTGATCATGAAAACATTGTGGCAGATCCTGCAGGGCAAGACTGTCCAGATACCTGTTTACGATTTTGTTACTCATTCCAGGTGAGCTCTCTTTCATTCTCCCAGGCATGTAGGATCACGCTGTGTTCATGGCATCACAATTAAGTTAGAGTTATTTATAATTTTTTTTTGTATCATTTCAGGAAGGACGAGTTTATCACTGTATACCCGGCAGATGTGGTCCTATTCGAGGGCATCCTCATGTTCTATTCTCAGGAAATCAGAGACGTGTTCCAGATGAAGCTGTTCGTGGACACAGATCCAGATACGAGGCTCTCCCGTCGAGGTGTGTATGCAGAGCCTGGCCGTAGAGCGGTGTCCCTACAAACGTCACAGTATCATCGCTGCATCGGAATTGATTGGTTGCTATGTGGTTTTTTTTTTTTTTCAGTCTTAAGAGACATCAGTGAGCGAGGGAGAGAGCTGGAGCAGGTCCTGACTCAGTACATTACTTTTGTGAAACCGGCGTTTGAAGAATTCTGTTTACCAGTGAGTAATCCGGCCTATCAAATATTCATTATTGTTTCAAACGGTATAAGGTGTATGGGTGGGGGAAAAAAAAAACAAAAAAAAAACAAGAATTGTGTGACTTTTTTTTTTTTTTTTTTTTTTTTTTTTTTCAAAGAAGTATGCAGATGTGATTATTCCTCGGGGAGCAGATAACCTCGGTAAGGTCAAAAAGTTTTCTCCAATACTCCAAGTTGCCGTATCATGTGTTGGACGTTAAAAAAAAAGTTGTATGGGGTTTCTGTAAAGCTTTTTGATTAGCGACACACAGTTTGCGATTTTTTTTTTTTTTTTTTTTTTTTGGCAAGCGTGATATCGATTTTAGTCGAATCAGATTTCCTAAAATTGACAGTACGTACAATAATTAGTGTTCTTTGGTAGGTCGAGATGACAAAAAAAATTCAATTCGCATTGTTTATTTTTAGTGACCTTTAGAAACAAGAACAGTCTTGGAATATAATTTAAGATCAAGCACAGCAGGTAACAAGATGACAAGAAAGGCTGTAATCTCTGCTTTGTCATCTGACAGGTCATTTATCTACCATATCCTCTGCCAAACAAATGCTCAGACTTGGAACAGCTCTGGTAATGCGACGTCTGATGGAGAAAACACCCCCCCCCGACCCCCGCTGACTCAGTGATGTAGTCTTGGATTAGGTTTTTTTCTGACTCTGCGGTTGCTCCCCCGCAGTCTAAATTAGCGGTAAACTCCTCACAAATGGTGAGCTAGGAACTTTAGTGGCTCGCTAGTAACTACTTAGCATGCTACATGTCAGTACGTAGGGTACCGTTTTTTTGAGTACCTTAGCGCGTTGTTTCCCAAAGACTGAATCGCAACCCTCGCAACGCCCACGGGCTGTATGTTTTTCCACCCCTGGTGTAAACCTTAACTGCAGTGAGCCTGCAGGGCAAAACACAACTTAATGGTGGAATGAATTGTCGTTTGTACTAACCGTGTGTTGTGTTTAGAATAAAAAAAGCAGGTATAAACTAAAGCCTAAAATGCAAGACTGAATTCTACGTTGTTAAAATGACAGCCTTTTTTTTTTTTTTTTCTTCTTCTCTCTCTCCCACAGTGGCCATCAACCTAATAGTACAGAACATCCAAGACATTCTGAACGGTGGGCTGAGCAAGCGTCACAACGGCTGCTTGAACGGCCACAGCACTCCACGACAGCGACGGACCTCCGAGTCCAGCAGCCGACCTCATTGACCACATCACACCTCTCTTCACACGGCGGAGAGGGGTGTGGGGGTTGTGCTGTAAATAATGCCTGTCTAAAGTTTAAAAAAAAAAAAGAAAAAAAGGAAAACAAATCGGTATTTAAGAGAAAAGAGCTGCAAAAAAGAATTTGAAATGCCTTTCAATGTTGTAATTACAGAGATGAAAGAGAGCTGGCTTTCGCTGGGAAAATGCGGCCGTGGCTCACACATCTTCAAATTGTCTGGCTTGCTGAGCTCAAGAAGATTCACTTTGTATGTTAAACATTGGGTTGTTCAGGCTGTAGGACACTGATCCGCCTTGTCATGGCAAGACCTACTGCCTAAAGACAACCTGTCAGGTGAATGGGCTGTTACGTCAGCGTAATTTTTGGTGCCCGTTTTTTGTTTTTTTTTTGGAAGGGTCCAGTTTCATCTCTATAATTACTCTTAATGAGTTACTTTCACGGTCATTTAAGAATTTTGTCAAGTGGGTCAAAGAGAAGCGCTTCTTGAGATGTGACCATGGGTTAAATACTACCCCATGTATTTTCCTCCCAGACTATTGTTTTTTTTTTTTTGTTTTTATTTTGGGACTGTATTGTTTTTTGTTTTTTTTGTTCCCTGTTGTGCTATGAAATCTCATGCCGATGAATAAATGGGGGAATTTTTTTTTTTTTTTTGTGGGAAAAAAACTTTGAAAAGAAAGGGGGGGGGGGGGGGGGTTTGGATGCATGAGTTTCAAATATGCTTTAGAAGATGAGTTGAACAAACTAGGCTCCATTTGGAAGGACAATCTTGGCAATGCCTTTTATGTTCCTATGCTGTAATTAGTATAAACAAGTTACACGACAGGTTTTGTTTATGTTGCTAGCCGAGATGCACAATGAACTTTTAGTACTGCGAAAATTAATATAAACGTCTCAAAACATTTGTGACGTGATCCAGTGTTATGGGTACTTCAAAAATATTTCACTTACTGCGCCCCCACCCCCCCGCTGGGTGACCTGTTATGTATTTACCTTAATAATATTAATGAGAAACGCTTAAGTTATGAATAAATGGTTGGTTCCATTGAGTGGTTAATATGTTATCTAATGGTATGGATTTTCATATGCCAGTGATATGATACATACACTCAGGTTGATTACACCCTTCAGTATTTCAGGAGAGGAAGGTGTTCAATGCCCCCATGCAGTGTCACTCATTCCAGGTGTTTAAACGTAAAATTTACTCACCAAAATCCACCGCAATGCCTCTGCAAAGATGCCTCAGGTTTGTACAGCCAGAATCCACATAAGGCAAACCGTTATAACAGTAAATAGATCTCTTTTTTTTCTTCTTCTGTATTTCATGTGTTTGTATTTGTTGTATGATGTTTAAAATAATTTTTTTATATATATATATCATGGGTTTTGTACTGTATGGCTGCTGCACTGGTTTAGGAGCGTCTGGATGATTTCTGTGTGATTGTCAGTTATCAAAAAATAAATAAAATAAACTGATCCATGCCAGAGTGCCAAAGGCTGAGTGATTTATTTGGAGAGATCTGAAAGTTTAGACAACATGGTTTGCAACCCACTGGGTCGTTTTGCAATCTTGCACATTCACCAGCAGGGGGAGCAACGTACTGCAGTTTGATTACAACAAGCGTGCAAAGTTCTTTGAAAAGTTCCGAGTTTAAATACCCAAAAGATGCTGGGATATTTGGACTTTTTGCATAATGTTTATAATAAAGTTATGATTAAGACCACGAGCCCCTACTTCGTTGCGTACACATTAAAGTGTCGTGCCGTCGGAATCAGATTCCTCCCCGTATATAAGTGTTGTCTTCAAATTGGATATACGAAATATCAAATATCCAAAAGCTTGCAATTGCTGCTATAAAATTAAAGGTAATCAAAAGTTGTTTTAAGATGCAACCAACGACAGCAAACAGTCAGACCAGCGAGTGAGAGCAAAAAAATTAGCTATATGTTACGCTAAATAATATTACACGTTTAAAATTCATGAACCAATATTGTCAAAGAACTGATAAACATTTAAAACGAATTAATTAAATAAAATTGGAAATAGTTGTAATATTCGAGATGTACGTGAACACACCGGGGGAGGGATCCAAGATGGTGGTATGTAATACTGCTTCGTGGCTCTGGTCTAAATTTGTCAATCAATCCAGCACTACCACAGTTTAAATGTTTGTCCTGTGCTTCTGAAATATGCGCGACAGAAATTCGGACTTCAATTCAAAGCTACTCTAGAGAATGTCACCAACGTGAGGCCGTTGGGTGACGACTTCCGCTGGTTTTTGAAGGTACACTCGCAGCCCATTAGCTTAGCATTGCTATTGCTGTTATTATTACTGACCCTGCAGTTCGCCAAAGACACAACAACTGTGTACTGTTAGGTCATTTAAATACGGTTACTTAAATGAAACATTTCCTCCTGTATGTACTCTGGGAGGTTAAATTAACTACGGTTACTTAAATGAAACATTCCCTCCTGTATGTACTCTGGGAGGTTAAATATTTAAGTGTACTTACCGTTTCTCTTTGCTTGACGCACCAACACGTTTGATATTCATTATTATTATTATTATTCTTTATTTAGCTGAAGTGTGGTAACTGTGGAGAGATCCCAGAGAAATGGCAGTATGTTACCCTGGTGGTAAGAACACAATCCTCTCAATGTGTCCCTACAGTTGACCATAGTTCTTTAAGAAATTTGCTTTAATACTTTCAATTTTTTTATTATAGGAAAGTGTTCCACTGAAAGGAGGAAGAGGCAGCGCCAGCATGGTGCAAAAGTGTAAACTCTGTGCCAGAGAAAATTCAATTGGTACAAACTGAAATGTCCATTCATTGAATTAGTCTGACTATATATAATATAATCCAAATATATATTTCTTCCACACAGATATTCTGGGGGACACGATCACACCTTATAATGTAAGTGAGCCACTTAATATGGTAGAACCAGCATTTATTATTTTTTTATTTTTTTTCCTGTCCTCATTCAAATTGCTGTCTTACTAATGAGGAGAAAAGCATAATTTTGAAAATATTACAATTTTTTAAATTTAATTTAATTGTTTAATTTTCAGGCAGAAAACAGTGAAACCTTCAAAACGATGGTGCAGTTTGAGTGTAGAGGGCTGGAGCCTGTTGACTTTCAGCCACAGGTAAGTGTGTGTGTGTGTGTGTGTGTGTGTGTGGGTCAACCATTTCCCTGAAGGTTGTGACTTTTTTTTGAAAGAATACACGTAAACCTATTTGTGAAACAAACTAACACAGAACACAAACAGTTATTTCATGTTAGTTTCACATGACATGAGTTTAAAAAAAATAAATAAAAAATTCTGTATTTGGTTTACAGGCTGGTTTTGCTGCAGAGGGAGCAGAGACTGGAACACAATTTCCTGAAATTAACCTTCAAGAAAAT